CTATTGTTCTGGATATTGTTCAGCAATGGACGTCTTCCAGCTTACCGATGCTGATGATATCCAATGACAAGAAATACCGCGAAAACTGAAGTTCTTAGATTAGTACTATAGGTATCTAAAGTAGGTACTTCATAATCACAAAGAAGATTCAATGCCAAAATGTTTTAAACTAACTTTTATAGTTTATATGTATCGAGGTATGTATTAAGGTTCCTAATTTAAATTCATACGAACTGTCGTCACGAAGCCTGTTTTATCTGTGACGAATTTAAAAAAAGAAAATACGGTCACAGAATCGTTTGTTTTGCAAATATCTTTCAGCTGTTGGATTGTTTCAAATTCGGCATAATAAGGTATTCTACCTTTATATAGGTTCTTTCAACAAAAATATACGTCTTCAATATATTAACGTTAAAAGTATGAAGTCCTAAGTAACTGTTCAATTCCTATTTCGCGCAAAGTTTCTAACATTTTATTTTGGTTCTCCGAAATTGTCAGTAGGAGTAGTAATTCTATAATTTGCATAAACCATGTCTCGATGTATTTAGCCAATTATTATACTTAAGACTACTTTCTTTGTGACAACAAATATATGGACACCTAGTAGGTACAAACGTAAGTAAATAATATTGGATATTTATTTAAATGTTGCATTATGTAGCTATCACCGCAGTAACCAACACCAACACATAGATTATGTATACCTATGCGTCAATTATTGCATTTTTATCTCGCAATTACATAAAAACATCTACTGAACATTTGCAATTTATTCATAACTTTTATCGATGTCAAAAAATAAATATGATTTTATTGTTGAGTAATTCGTCAAACGATTTATTGTGGATGAATCTCTTTTTCTCATATGTGGTAAATATGAATATTGGTCTACTCTACTCTCACAAAAGATAGGAAAAAAATAGTAGCCTAGTTCAAAAATATTTTAATGCCTTCAGCATTCCTTTTTAAAAGGCCCGCAACGCACCTGTGAATCCTCTGGTGTTACAGGTATCCATGGGCGGCGCTGATCACTTACCTCAGGTGATCCATCAGCTCGTTGGCCTCCTATTCCATAAAAAACACTTATTTAACGTACGATACTAGATACTTACGGCCTATTATCATAAACCGAATCGTATTTAGATAACACATTATACCTAATTTCTACAGAAATGTTTACGTTATAAGTTATAGATTATTTGCATGATAGATTATTTATACCTACATATCTATGGATAGTATTAGTCAATTAGTATACTTTTCTAGAAAAATATGTAAGTATATACTTAACTATCTAATAGATATATTTCTTTTTAATTTGTTTGCTTGTCAACTCTTCATATGAAATATAAAAAGTTGTTTAACGCCTTAGCAACAATATATTGACAAGAAAATTGATTGAAGAGAATTGGTAGGTAGATAACTTAAAGGTAGAAAGAGCTATCTTTTGCGTGATAAGTATAACAATTTGTTTATATCTAAACATGACATATTTATGTTTTAAAAAACTGCCAAACTGCTTGCATAGAACCTATAGACATGTCCCTTAATGGCTTTGTTCCTACTGTTGATCATAGAAAAAAATAAATGAGTACATACGTCAATGTCATAGTTGAAAATAATGTTGAAAAGTAAACAGCGCTTTTTGTAGAAGGAAAAAAATATTTTTGTACCTAGGTATTTAATTCGTTGGGATTAAAATACGTAATTGCCAGAGTCAAGGTCGAATCTGCCAATGTCATTGTTGATTGCGGTCGTGCACCTCTCCTGTACTTACAGCAAAGTGCAAATGTGGGTAAATGTATACCTAATAAAAAGAGATTTTTAATGTTAACGCAAAAATGTTAAATTACCTACTTGCTACCTATTTTGTTTTAAAGACGTAACTTTCCTGTTAAGAAAAGGTTATTATGAGAAAGAGTGGAAATGTTCCTGAGGATAATAGAAAGAATTGCTTACTTAGACGACACAGATATTGGTTAGACAGTGGGGGCAGTGGTTCGGCTATATCATGTCTTAAGACGATTTACTCAAGATCTCTTTTTTCATAATAAAATGCATATGAATTTATATGTTTCTTAACGTACCTACCTACGCAGGACGTATAAGTAGGAGCAAATCGCGTAAAAAAGTTTTCTGCTGTCTACCACTAAAATAAACTTAATCATATTTTATATTTAGTTACATAAGGTATGCATCCATCACACCACATTCTGTTATATCAAACAAATGGTCATAATAACAACGAATGTAAACAATAACAAAGGTGGGCAGTGCTAAAGTTGTATAAAAATAAAATTGCATTAATATAAAGATATATTTGTGTACGTCCTTAATCGGTTGTCTTATGAAAACAATTCTGCAGGTCATTACGCATGACATGTGATTAATGACCTGTCCACGTTAAGTGGATTACATTGTGAACATTGTCTTCTAATAACGACGCCTGATAATTTCTTACAAGCAAACTGTTACTAAATTACCATACCTTGCTAATCTATTTATTTTGTCACGTATTTACTGCTGTATATTATATCTCACATAATATTAACTTTTCGTATAGTTGTTTAAGAATTCGTCGGAGTCTAAATAAAACACTTGTCAAAACGAAAGCCAAAAATTACGGAACGATATTTGTATACTAGCAACATCGATATCAAGTGTCACTGACAAGTTGTCAGTTCGCGCTGTCAAGTGTCTAATCGCAAATTCGCAATGTAACGTCAGCTGGTTTGCTGGTGTTTGCGTATATTTTGTAAATAAACAAAGTATTATTTATTAGAAAGGCGTGACAAGTGGTAGTGTTTGTGTTCAGTAATTATAAATTCCGTCCAAAATGAGGTCGTCATTGTACAGACGTAGAGGAAGTGATTCCGAGAGAGAACCTTTGTTAGCAGCTATTCCCGCCGCTGGACTTGGTCATAACTTTCGAGATGAGGTATTTTTAATTTCTTTATTAAAATTAATTGGACCATGAAACTTTTTGAAATTCTTTTTCGACTCTCCCCTTGGCTCAAATATCTATAAAATCTTTGTTTCATTTCATAAAATAGAATGAGTAGGTATTTAATTTCCGTTCATTTTTTACTTAAACCAGACCGTGACAAAAAGTATAGGTACAATCTCAGAATCAAGGTTTTTTGTAGCTATGCGGGCGATAATATTATTGTCCGTGGGTATTCATCCTTATTTTATGATAATATTTCAAAATCAGAACCTATTGAGATTTTTAAACTTTGTTTTTATTAAGTCTTTCATAATAAACTATACAATTGCACATTAAAATTCTGAGAAAGTATTTTTTTAATGTTATCTGCTTGACAAATAAGTTTTTTGGCTTTTATATCTGATAGCCAGAAGTTCACCTTGCCAATTAAATTAAATATATCTATCCTTTCCACAACACTTAATTACCTAATTATTGTAACTTTTTGTTAAGATAACATTACAGTTCTCTTAATTCAAGACACAATAGAACAACAACAAGTGCATGAACACCCGGTGTTATTGGCTTAGGGTGTGACAAAATAATAGTCTTAAGTCTGTTGTAGTATTGCTGCCTGCTGGACCAGATACATTTAGGCTCCTGATATAGAAATATGTATACATTTATTATGGGATAGGCTGACAAATCAGAAATGACGAAAAGGAAGCACACTGCTAGGCCTTCTGGCTTGGCAGGCAGATTGGACATTTTAGGTTTAGGTTAGAAAACAAAAGACCTTTCTGTGACATTGTGCTATCATTCCAGTTCAGGTGGCACACTAGTTTTTTTATAGTAACTTCTTATAATGGCTTCATCTAGTGTTTTATAGTAAACATAGTAAATGCTGTATTATGAACTACACAAAAATAAATTCATTGTTTTACTGTTTTCAGTGTTGATAACAACCACAATATTTATCAATAATAATCAACAGATAGGTTGCTGGTGAATTATAGGGTCTCCTCTACATAAGACAGTAAGCAGTAGTCTCTATGCTTGCCACCAACATTGGAGATTGCAGTTTTAAACATTTATAATATTCAGAGAATACTGCTGTTTGGACTATGCTTATAGCCTCATTAGTCAGCCTTATAAACCTATGAAAAACTCAACAATACATTCTCCTACATAAAAGTTAAAATACTTAAAATTTACTTCTTTATTTCAGTTTAAAACACTACAAATAAGCCTGTAATGTCTCCTCTAAGTACAAAAGATAATCAACAACAACAAAATACTGTTATGAGATTCATATCTTTTTTATCAGTAAAAGCTTAACTGATAACACTCATAAGACAATGTAACACTTTCAAATGGTTTTAAAACAATAAAGGAATTATAGTTTAGTGTTTATGTAACAAATAGCTCTCTATTCTCAGCAATGAGCATTTTTGGGATCTGAAAATGGACATTAATAGACATTCACAAGGTCTGGATATCTTCTGTGTACATATTATAATTTTCTGATAATAAATTAAAACAATCTATTTAGTTATATAAATATTTACAGATAAATTAAAATATGTAAATAATTGAATTTAAGTTGTATGGACTATCTGCCACAGAACTTGATCAGGTCTTCAGGTTCTTATAAAAAGGCAGTGAAACAGACTAGGAACAGAAGGTTTTTCGTCAGTTAGTCTGACACTCCCGCCCCATCTAGGGCAGAGGAAGTCATTCGCAGACTTTACCCTTTTCGAAAACAAAACCTATTTATAAAGCGCCAAGTACGACTTGGATTCGCCCATAAAGAGTTGCAGCTGGAAAATAATTTTACGTTTTATGACATATTATAAAAAACCTACTAGATCTCGTACAAAAAAAATTGCGTTAATGCTCTAAAATTTCACAAATAAGTATAGGTATACAAATTATAGTTCCAGATCTTAGGGTGAAATAAAATACGTGGTTGATTGCAAACATACTAATGGCACAAGAGGAATATACATATAATGTGAATAACGTTTTGAAAACGTAAATCAAAATATTAATTGCTATATTTCTTTATTTTCAGCGTCCAGAGGGCAACGGCACGATGGCGGACATGGGAGTGTCACAAGCAGAGCTGGTGGAGCCACGGGGAAACAACGGACGCAAGTTGCCGCAGTACCTTGCTGCTCTTGCAGGTATAAAAACATTATTATCCCAATACCAATTGTTATAGTAGATAGATCCGCCAGGTTAAACTAAGTCTAATGAAAGATCCGCTCTTTAGCTCCGCCCAGTTGACCATGAATTGTCGAATCAAGTGCAAAAATCGCTAAGATATAGCGTGGAATGCGTCACTAAGAAATTGCGGTGTGCTGATTACATTTTCGCTTTCTTTTTAAATGCGATGCGATTCTTTTATGGGGGCGTGGCTTGACGGGTTTGCCGTGTTCAAGCAATAAACATTTGTAACTGATCTGTACTAGGTATATCGCGGTTCTACGACGAGTGCAAGCGCAATAATGAACCGCGGCCCTAGCCCTAGCCTGAATCAGGAGAAGGAACGAGGTAGTTTTTAGTAACTAAGAGCCCCCCAGACTTGGTTTGTGGACGAGAAGCAACACTGCTAGATATCATTCTCTAGGAAATAAATTTTAATATGATTTGTTTAAAAATAGGTACGACCCTACTTACTACACTTTTCGGTACCAGTCGTGATTGTACACTACCTACGTATTAAATAGATATAAATAAATAATTTGTCCTGTCGAATTCATGCACCACAATAAAAATGGTCGATGTTTTATCAAAGCATGTTGATAAGTATGTCGTTTAAAGGTTATTGCCTTGTATATTTTATTACAATGAAAGTATGTGCACGTACAAAATATTGGACTAATTAATATACAACAAAATATTGTCTTCAATTGTTCCTTCATGTAATGATATTTAGCATTCATCGTCACTGTAGAAATTATGTTGAAAGTATGACTAACAACCAGGTGTTACACAGAAAAATAAATACCAAGCTAAAGAATATTTTTAAATATGGGGAACAAGTGCCAGTGGCACTCGCTTGTGAAGGGTTTATATGTTGTTATAACGAAAAAAAAATACACTTATCTGTTCAAATTTCAATTGATTACCTATTACTAGCTAGAAGGGACGGTGAAACTTTGTAATAGGGTTCCCATTTCACCCACTGAGTACGAAACCCTAAAAATAATAGGCAGCTACAAAGTGTTAAGACATCTGTTGTAGTCAACTCACGTTATGTAACAATAATTTCTATTTTACAAAACTAATCTTTAACTCCATATTAATTCAGTTCTTATTTGACTAACTGATAGCTACAGTAGCTGTAAAAATGATTTAAATGAAAATAATCTTTGAGACTACGGTCTAAAATACATTTTGAAATGCCACATATGGATGTAGGTAGCTTAATAGAAGGCTACTACTGCGCAGTTCATTATATTGTTAGTTTAAGCAATTATAGTATGCTAATTAGTGCACTAGTGGTACTATTATCTTGTAATGACTACCTAGGTGTGGGCCATTGATGTTTCTATTTTGGAATCTTTTTATTTTTATACAACAAGGCTATAATACAACAATAAAGTACAAGGATACCTATTATTCTGTATATTGTCACAATATTATCGCAACAATACAATGCTAATTAATTGTAATGTTTGTTCCAGCTACCCTGGGAGCGCTAGCAGCCGGTTCTATGCTGGGTTGGTCAGCCCCGGTGATGGTCAAACTGACAGACCCCAACAGTACCGACTACGACTTCCCCGTGACAAAAGGCCAAGGAGACTGGATATCCTCCGTCATCAACCTTGGAGCTGCCTTCATATGCTTCCCCATCGGGCTGGTCATGGACGCTATAGGACGTAAAAAGACCATGTTGCTCCTCGTGTTACCTTTCACCTTAGGCTGGTTGCTCATTACCTTCGGTAACAGTGTGGGCATGCTCATCGCTGGCAGGCTCATCACTGGTGTCGCCGGAGGCGCCTTCTGCGTCACCGCCCCCGCCTACACCAGTGAAATAGCACAAGACTCCATCAGAGGCACGCTGGGAAGCTACTTCCAACTGATGATAACTATCGGTATCCTGTTCGCGTACGTAGTCGGTGGCTACGCCTCAGTGTTTGTCTTCAACATCCTCTGTACCTGCATTCCTATCATCTTTGGTATTGTATTCTTCTTCATGCCCGAGAGTCCCAACTACTTAGTTGTTAAAGGCAAAAATGACGAGGCAAGAGAAGCGTTGATCCGGCTCCGTGGCAGCGCTTATGATGTAGACTATGAGCTCAACAACTTGAAGTCGAGGGCGGAAGAAAACGAAAGGAACAAAGTATCGTACATCTCCGCTCTCAAGAAGAAGACAGCTCTGAAAGCTCTCCTTATTTGCTACGCCTTGATGGTGTTCCAGCAGCTGTCTGGTATCAACGCTGTCATCTTTAACACCTCTCAGATCTTCTCTGACGCCGGTGCCACAATCCCACCGACTATTTCTACAATTATTATCGGGGTTATCCAAGTAATTGCCACTTTCATCTCTAGTTTGGTAGTGGACAAGCTCGGCAGGCGTATCTTGTTGCTTCTCTCTGCGCTGGTGATGTGCGTGTGCTCCACTGCGTTGGGCGTGTACTTCTTCCTGCAGCAGACGCACGGCAGTGAGGCCGACATCGTGCAGGCCATCACGTGGCTACCGCTGGTCTCTTTGTCTCTGTTCATCATCGCGTTCTCTCTCGGTTTCGGTCCTATCCCCTGGATGATGGCGGGTGACCTCTGCCAGATTGACATCAAGGCCTTCGTTGGCTCCACCGCGGGAACCCTCAACTGGCTGCTCAGTTTTACTGTGACGAGTACATTCAACTCCTTGAACGCGGCGATAGGGTCGGGTCAGGTGTTCTGGATGTTCGCTGGTATCATGTTGATAGGCTTCGTGTTCATATTCTTCGTTATCCCCGAGACGAAGGGCAAGAGTGTGGACGAGATCCAAGTGTTGCTAGGAGGAGAACCCCAGCAGAGAGCCGAGGAGAAGAAATAAACGCCACAAACAGACTGACAGACATCACATAGTATTTTTGTACTGAGACTTACACTTAGAGGTTTCTTTGGTGTCGCAGTGCTTCGGTATAAGCAATATTATAATTTTATAGAACCAAAGAGTTACGATGTATCATTTAGATGTACCGTAGGATTATTGCTGCGCTGTCATTATTTATTTGTTATTGAACTTTACGGAGACATCCAGTCCCTGGCAGCTTGTAATATTATAGCTATGATGTGCATATTATTACGAATTCAGTTGTTTGTAGAACGAATTTTCCAAACGGACTTATTGCGAGTAACATGGTAACAATAATAATTGTAATGTTTAGGCTAAGTGGTTCATAAAATATACATATGTACCTATATCAATTTGTGGGGGTTTTATGCCCCATTGGTTCACACATTCGTCCCTAAGAAAAACGATCTTTTATCTACGAAATATCAACTTTTGTAACTTTATACGGAAATTGAGTAATCTATTTGAATATAATCCTGCAACTATGTATTGAAAACTGGCTTCAACGCAGCGATTGGAACTCTCATATTTCAATCAACGAGTCGAGTATCTATCATTGCATAAAATGACTTTTCATTGCATTGCAACAGTTGACATTTTAGTTCTTCATTGCATCGAAATTTCGAGAGATTTTATTGTAATTTTCTTTAAGAATTCGATATTTGAAGTTTTGAAAACTAAATCTGTTTATATGTTATGAAAAGTTATCTTATGCATACGATATACGTTTGTGAAGGACCTACTTGCCTATTTATGTAGAATTTACTTGACATATGTAAGTTGTTTGAAAGTAGATTTGTTACAGAACTTTTGGCTCGACCATAATGAAGTTTCTCATATCAAAATGCCATAATGTTGATATTATTATACAAGTTTATACATAATAGAAACGCGTATATTTGCTAATGTTATTACTAATATAAATATTTATTATTATGATTATTTACATGTTAATACAATAATAGGAAAAGTAGTGCAAACATTGTGAGATTTTTATTACCTATAATAAAATAAATTATTGAATGTATTTAATAACATAATTTATTTATTTAAATAATTAATAAATTGACGGTTTTATTGTAAATTTTTGCTCAAATCTGAAAATTTAATTTGGAATATGATATATTATTTTGAATTGTAAGTGAATGCATATTTATTGGCTTATAATTAATTGAATTATTTAAATATCTGCACTATGCCATTGCAATTGCCACCCTAGGCCAGTGCTTGGGCACTTGATAAGACAAACAAATTATTTAATAATGTTCCTGAATTTATTTCGAAATGGACATAATGGTTAAAAGACCTGTCTCGCGTATTGTAAGTGGAATAATATTATGGTTGTATATATTGTTATTAGATTAAGTTTTATAGTGATAATAAATGTGAAAAATATTTATATTCGTTAATTTTTATACAGATCCCAAACTCCCAATACCTAGTCTGACTTCAATCCCTGGCTTTTTTTCAGGAAAAAAAACTGGTTGCAGTGTGGATGAGATGAGTAATAACTATAAATAAAGAGATTGACCTCTGAGTTTGTTTCGGCATTTCTTCTCAGAGAAGTCAGATAGGAAATGCCGGCTTCGTCTAGTTTTTCACATATAATTTGACGTGTAAACCTTATGGCCTATTTGCAAAAATAAATTCATTGTTTCAAGTTAAACAAGGAAAAACAACCCAAATGTCGTCTTGATTGATCTACGGTTAGATATCAGTTCCCACTATATTTGGGATTTATTTTGTTACATTATTTTATACATGCCGTTTGGATTTGGATTTAGATTTTATATGAGATAATTGTCATAATTGTTTCCTAGGTCAATTTTTTTTAATACTTACAATTATATTTATTGATTTCACGTAACACTTACTTAATTTAAAATTTTCCTCGTGTCGTTCTGTATAAACCCATTTTAAAATCGAAAAACAGACCAAGAGTAACTGGGAAACGGTGACCTCTTTCTACGAAGCTGTGATGCTAACAAAGAAGGAGGCGGAGTGCGGGAGGAAACTATTCTCCTCTCGCTCCAGCCGCTGCAGTAGGAGATCCTCCATACCATAGGGCCATCGGGATCGCGTGACGATTTCCGTCCACAGTCAGTCTGAAGAAATTTCCGCTCGAGTGAAACCAGACCGGAGCGTACGGCGCGTAGCGTTCCGCGCGCTTCTCAAAGAGCTAACAGACCGCTACCTATGTGAAAATGAACGTCATTGAATTTTATAAGTAGTCAGCACTCGCTTTTTGTGTAGGTAGTCACCAAAGACTATGGTACCTATAGATAACTACTGGTGTTTACATGTCACACCACACGATGCCTCAAGTATCGTAAAAAAAGGGGTGCAAGCGCAAAAGGCACCTCGGCTGACGAGATTACCTAAATTCATTTTAGGTGAATTTTACTATTATACCTACTACTATTATTTTTAATCTATTTTACAACCTGTTAGACTAGTCGACTCGGCAGTTTTAAAACGACACCCTTCGACCTACGCAAAACTTTATTTTTATGAACAAATTAACTTTTATATGAATGCTTAGGCAGAGTTAGTAGGTAAGTATCTACTTCAGATGGAACGCTCACAACTTTGCGGGCTATGTGGACCCTTATTAGGTTCACGAATTTTAGCTGAAACAGATTGGGTGACTGACAGACAGATTGGGGCGGATCCGAAGATCACAATACCTATATTTACACCCTGAACCTAAACTCTGGCAAACTGCACTCGATTTTGGAAAAATAATATGTGCATTCATATAGTTTATTATTGCTTATAATTATCTAAGTACCTATAAGTACTTATAAAACACAATGCCACTTTTTGTTGTAAGTAATGTTATAACTCAACAATGCCTTTACCGATTTGGCTAATTGGTCTTGAATTATTCGTGTAAGTATCCACAGAAAACGTTTGTAATTTGTAACAAGCTTCGGCACGAATGGGTCGGCTCGACCGGAGTGATACCACGGCCTCACAGAATTCCCGCGTGAAACAACCACAGCGTTGTGTTTCGCCGTGTGAGTGAGGCCCAAACCCGCCCCTTCTTCTATCCCTTCCAGATCCCTATATCCGCAACCCCTATCCCCAAAAGGCCGACAATGCACTCGTAACTCCTTTGGTGTTGCGGGTGTTCATGGGCTGGATTGCTTACCATCAGGTAATTCGTCTGCTCGTTTGTTTACAAAAAAAAAGACATAAAAAAAACAAGAGTTTAAATCGACATCCACGTATTGATGGAAAAATCATCAAATGTCTTCTGCCGGCCAGGGTAAGGCGAGGAGAGTGTCAGACTCATACTGACTAATCCCCCCCTGTTCCTTATCGTGATTTAGGCGGAGGCCGCGGTAACACATTGTGCTTACCCTGCAACTCCGGCTGAACATCAGCCCTATAGGGCCCCGTCTGTTTTGGTCTATTGGCTCTAGGAGGCGCACGCGGAATGCGATGCGCCGTAGGTACGCTCGATTATTTAGATACATGCTGGATTCCTAACCCACATTCTCACACAAGAGTGTGGGAGAGCCATGCTTCGGCACGAATGGGTCGGCTCGACCGGAGTGATACCACGGCCTCACAGAAGACCGACGTGAAACAACCACAGCGTTGTGTTTCGCCGTGTGAGTGAGGTTACCGGAGGCCCAATCCGTCCCTTCCCTAATCCCTCCCCAGTTCCTAAATCTCCAAATCCCTGACCATACCTGGGACGCCACGGGTTCCCGAGATATTAAAGGTCAAAGATGCATTTTTATTTTTTATTTTTTTGCGCAATCGAATTCTAAGTATTATTACAAAACTTTTTTCCAAACAAACATTACCAGAATTTTCGATTTTTCTAAATAAATTACGCATTTGAAGTTACGAACAGTAATGTACGTAATAAATAAATGCAGACTCGCACAAAAAACATCTCGGTAGGATTTTTATTTTACAGAATTGTTTTGTTGTTGCGAAGTAAAACGTCGACCTACGTACTTATCACAGCGTTTTAATGCTAAGCTGTGAACCTAGGCACACAATGACACGAAGCCCGTTTGCTTTACATTGCGCGCAATAAATTTTTTTTTTTTTTTGAGACCTAAAAATAAAAGTCGTTTTCCAGTGATAATTTTAGCGTAAAGCTACTTAGCTAGAACTGCAGTATGCGTAGTTAACGGCTTCGTTAAGTGTCTTTTTACACCCTGTATATAATATGAAATAACATAAACATAACTCTACTATTCATCATTATCATCATTGCTTTACTTGGCACCTGGCACTTACTTGGTACCGACTTCGAAATTATAAAAATAGTTATTAATATTATTTTCTATTTAAGTACCTAAATGAAAACTGTATTACTTTGTAAATAGAAAAAAAAAATGTTTTACTTTTTAGTTTACTTTGGAAGTTGGTTGTTTTTTTGTTAAAAAATATTTTATTTCACCATTATAAGTGATAGGCAGAGCAAGCAAGGATAATGCTTTTCGAATGATAAGACGACGGCTACTTGAGATCGAAAACGACGGTAATAGTAGTAGTCCTTAGTTAGTCAGTGTTCAGTGCTGTAAATCGTTGAGGAATTCCCTCGACTGTCAATGGTCTCCATCATCATGTATACTGTAGACTTTCAATATACTTACATAATCCATATAGGTGCAAAGTGCTCACCAATAAAAATCATTCAAGCCCAAACACAACATAATTACTCCAAATAGTCAAAAAGATCCCTCGACGGTCTTCCGGCTCCATCATCACATTTACTGCATAACTTCATTGTAACTCATGTAGGTGCGAAGTTTTTATTGATATAAATGAATTAAGCCCAAACACGAGGTAGTTACTGTAAACCGTTCAGGAGCTCCCTGAGCTGTCCTTCGTTGTCATCATCAGACCCCTAATGATATTCACTACCAGTCTTGGTGCAAAGTGCTCACCAAGATGAATTATTCAAGCCCAAACACAAGGCAATTAGTCCAAATAGTCATGGAGATCCTTCGACTTTCTTTCGGCTTCATCATCAAGTCGAGTTCAACTATCGACAAGTTGACGTAAATACCTGAATAACTTCAGAAATATATGAATATCCCCTCGATTTTTCTGGGTTTCCTTTAAATCATACCCTACTGAACAAAAAAAAATCCAAGTAGGTCCAGACGTCTTCGAGTAATCGGGGAACATACATAAAAAAAATATAAAAAAAAGATCCTGACGAATTGAGAACCTCCTTTTTTGAAGTCGGTTAAAAATATAATTGATTTGTAAATAAGTATTGAAATGGATACTAACGTGTTAACATACATTATTAAGGTCTAGCGAGCACTATCCCAAAAGTAGCTGAACAACATAAGCGTCAAAAGTATATTAACACAGGGCAACATTAAAAATATACTTTGTTAACCTAATTTTGTCTTTACTGCTGTTTAGTGACTTTTGATACAATGATGTTCAGCGACATTTGGATTGATTGTATACAGCGACTTTAGGAATACTATAGTGCACAGATACTTTTGAATTAGTCGTGTTTAACGACTTTTGTACATTTTTGGTGTACAGGCTATTTTGTTTCCTAGTTGCGACTATAACTTATGGCATTTTATTGTGAACAGGTGTTTTGTAAAGTTGATTCTGTTCATCGACTTTTGGAGCTGACTGTACTTACTCTTTTATTTGTAACGTCGTGACGTCGTGGTGGCCCGAAGGTAAAGGCACCGTCACTCTTTTTTACCCGACTGCCAAAGAAGGAGGGTAATGTTTTTCGAGTGTATGTAAGTATGTATGTATGTCTTTTCCTTTGTGACCTCCTGTAGCCTAAACGGCTTGATGGATTTTGATGTATGAGGTATCGTTAGATTTGTCTTGATTACGGGAGTGTCATAGGATACATTTTATCCTAAAAGTCCCACGGGATAAAGACATAATAATATTTTTTCTACCAACAGTCCAGATTGGCGGTAAATTTATGTTGCGGAGTAACATCACTCGTAATCTAAAGCCAAATGTCGTCGAAATAATTTAAAATGGTACTTACATATACATAGTCTTCAACATCTACAACATTTTTGTTAAATAAAAACAGCTAAAAAGTAATAATAAAAAAATTATTATTAAAAAAACAAAATACCCGACTGCACACTAAAAAAAGAGTAAAACAAGCCCCACAATACAAATTTACTGAATATAATTTATAAATGTTGATGGAAAGCATCGCAGGCGGGGACCACCTTGACCGCCACCAACGAAAATTCTGCTAAATGGTGCACAACAGAAATGACTATAAATAAGCCTCTGTTGGTCCCCGCCTGCGATGCTTTCCATCAACATTTATAAATTATATTCAGTAAATTTGTATTGTGGGGCTTGTTTTACTCTTTTTTTAGTGTGCAGTCGGGTATTTTGTTTTTTTAATAATAATTTTTTTATTTATGTAATAGGTCGGCAAACGAACAGACGGATTACCTGATGGTAAGCAATCAGCGCCGCCCATGGACACCCGCAACGGAGGAGTTACGAGTGCGTTGCCGACCTTTTAGGGATAAGGGATTTGGAGATTTAGGAACTGGGGAGGGATTAGGGAAGGGAAGGATTGGGCCTCCGGTAACACAACAATGTGGTAGTTTCACGCCGGTTTTCTGTGAGGCCATGGTATCACTCCGGTCGAGCCGACCCATTCGTGCCGAAGCATGGCTCTCCCACACTCTTGTGTGAGAATGTGGGTTAGGAATCCAGCATGTATCTAAATAATCGAGCGTACCTACGGCGCATCGCATTCCGCGTGCGCCTCCTAGAGCCAATAGACCAAAACAGACGGGGCCCTATAGGGCTGATGTTCAGCCGGAGTTGCAGGGTAAGCACAATGTGTTACCGCGGCCTCCGCCTAAATCACGATAAGGAACAGGGGGGGATTAGTCAGTATGAGTCTGACACTCTCCTCGCCTTACCCTGGCCGGCAGAAGACATTTGATGATTTTTCCATCAATACGTGGATGTCGATTTAAACTCTTGTTTTTTTCTTTGTCTTTTTTTTTTGTAAACAAACGAGCAGACGAATTACCTGATGGTAAGCAATCCAGCCCATGAACACCCGCAACACCAAAGGAGTTACGAGTGCATTGTCGGCCTTTTGGGGATAGGGGTTGCGGATATAGGGATCTGGAAGGGATAGAAGAAGGGGCGGGTTTGGGCCTCACTCACACGGCGAAACACAACGCTGTGGTTGTTTCACGCGGGAATTCTGTGAGGCCGTGGTATCACTCCGGTCGAGCCGACCCATTCGTGCCGAAGCTTGTTACAAATTACAAACGTTTTCTGTGGATACTTACACGAATAATTCAAGACCAATTAGCCAAATCGGTAAAGGCATTGTTGAGTTATAACATTACTTACAACAAAAAGTGGCATTGTGTTTTATAAGTACTTATAGGTACTTAGATAATTATAAGCAATAATAAACTATATGAATGCACATATTATTTTTCCAAAATCGAGTGCAGTTTGCCAGAGTTTAGGTTCAGGGTGTAAATATAGGTAATTGTGATCTTCGGATCAGCCGCAATCTGTCTGTCAGTCACCCAATCTGTTTCAGCTAAAATTCCTGAACCTAATAAGGGTCGACATAGAGCAGACTGATGATGAGAACGAAGGGCAGCTCAGGGAACTCCTGAACGGTTTATAGTTACTACACTTAACGAAGCCGAAAGCCACGTATTCTACCCATTATTTGGATATTTTTTTTCTAAATATCCAATTTTTTATAAATATCCAAATAATGGGTAGAATACGTGGCTTTCGGCTTCGTTAAGTGTAGTAACTAAATATAAACCGTTCAGGAGTTCCCTGAGCTGCCCTTCGTTCTCATCATCAGACCTTTAATGACCGCACGGTTGGCGCGGTGGCTGGGCAACTGGCTGCCACGTAACGTGTCGCGGGTTCGATTCCCGCACGGAACAACTCTTTGTGTGATCCACAGATTGTTGTACCGGGTCTGGGTGTGATGTGCATGTGAAATTGTATGTTTGTAAACGCACCCACGACACAGGAGAAAATCCTAATGTGGGGCAACGTTTTTAAAAAAAAAAAGAAAAAAAAAAAATTACACAGTTACGACCAAACCCGGTGCAAAGTGCTCACCAATACGAATCATTCAAGCCCAAACACAAGGCAACTACTCCAAATAATCAAGGAGATCCCTCGACTATCTTCCAGCTCCAACATCAGGTCGACTTCGACCTTCACCAAGTTATAGTGTTGTAAAAGACCTACTAAAACATCATACAAAAGAACTACCCGCCCCTACAATTATTGAAAGTTCCCCTCGATTGCTCCCGAATTCCATCATCAGACCCTGACCTCATGATAATGGGACCAACTGGCAGGTATACCCTATCAAATAAAAAAAGAATTTTGCAAATCGGTCCAGGCGTCTTCGAATAATCGGTGAACATCCATAAAAAATAAAAAAAAAGATCCCGACGAATTGAGAACCTCCTCCTTTTTTGAAGTCGGTTAAAAATATAATTGATTTGTAAATAAGTATTGAAATGGATACTAACGTGTTAATACATTTATTAAGGTCTAGCGAGCACTATCCCAAAAGTAGCTGAACAACATAAGCGTCAAAAGTGTATTAAAACAGGGCAACATTAAAAATATACTTTGTTAACCTAATTTTGTCTTTACTGCTGTTTAGTGACTTTTGATACAATGATGTTCAGCGACATTTGGATTAATTGTGTACAGCGACTTTAGGAATACTATAGTGCACAGATACTTTTGAATTAGTCGTGTTTAACGACTTTTGTACATTTTTGGTGTACAGGCTATTTTGTTTCCTAGTTGCGACTATAACTTATATGGCATTTTATTGTGAACAGGTGTTTTGTAAAGTTGATTCTGTTCATCGACTTTTGGAGCTGACTGTACAAAGTGCAATTCAAAAAAAGGTGCATAGATAGGTATCTATCTATTGCGATATATTCTTCTTTCGGAGTAGAAAAAAATACCAGCCGTTTGACTTATCGCGTCATACCTATCATTTCTAAATATGTCAAAAAGAGCAGGTACAAAAGCATACGATGTAACCTAGTAAAGAAAAATATATTTATTAGATAATAGGTAATAAGGCAATATTTTTGTGTGATAGATATTATGCCAGACTGAGTATGGTATGCCGCGTATAGGAATCTTATTTAAAATCAGTGTTTTATTTGAAAGGGAGGAAAGGATATGGACGCCTAAGGTACCTATGAAGAGATTTTTAAGGAGATACTTGGCTAGCTAACTATTCCGTTGGTACTTCGGCATTAGCGAATAAAAATAAGGGCATTAGCTGCGCGATGAGTACCTAAGTTTTTTTTTTTTGATGTCGGGTTGGAAAATCCTCATGAAGACCCACCGTCATCGGGGAAGGGCAAAAGGTACTGCCAGTCTTACTGACTAAAAACCAACCCGGTGTTCATCCAATTACCCATGTGTCGGAGGGGCGGGTATCGCCGAAGCATTCGTTGCAACCCCTCGACGGGTATTGGCCTGCCAGATGGCGGGCCCCGTCACCCACTGCGGCCGTCACCCCGACCACAGGACTCCACTATGAGGCGTGCGCGGATCACGGTGCCGCTGCCCCGAGGCCTGCTGCTTGTCGGACGACTAGACGCTCCGAGTCTGTCGTCTACTTCGGGCGAGGAGTGACAGACTCTTACTGACTAAAAACCATCCTGTTCCTTACCTTTGGCTCGCAGCCCCAGTTGAAAATACTTAGGTATCGTACTAATATCGCTTGACACAACGCTGCGTAACTTTTCGTGAAGGTATCACGGTCTTACGAACAACACCGTGCTAATGAAATAGGGGCTCTATTTCATTCCAACAAGCTCCAGAATTGCTTTTCAAACGAAAGCTTGGAAAGTTATGTTATTAATACTAATTACTCAAGAGGTGTTTCACTTCTTATTTCTATAGATACATTCCGGAGATTCAAAAAACAAGTGCTTACACGGCCACCTAAGTATATTAAAAGAGTCATAGGTTGTACAAACTTTTTTTTTTATGTAATAGCTCGGCAAACGAGCAGACGGATTACCTGATGGTAAGCAATCAGCGCCGCCCATGGACACTCGCAACGGAGGAGTTACGAATGCGTTGCCTACCTTTAGGGATAAGGGATTTGGAGATTTAGGGATTGAGGAGGGATTGGGGAAGGGGAAGGATTGGGCCTCCGGTAACCTAACTCACACGCGAAACACAACGCAGTGGTTATTTCACGCCGGTCTTCTGTGAGGCCGTGGTATCACTCCGGTCGAGCCGACCCATTCGTGCCGAAGCATGGCTCTCCCACACTTAATTTATAATATTCTCGTGTTTTAGAAAAATGACATAAAGAAACATTATGATAAAGAGAAACCACAAGAATGGCACGTTTCAGAGAAGAAAAAGGCTGATGACGAACCCATTTATTATTTTTATCACAGTGGCACTGTAAAACAGTATGCTGCTGGACTGGCAGGTAATTGTTCCTTTACCTACACACTGTGATGCGGCTACTGACTGAAATAGAACTGATAAGTACCTAAGTATAACTTAAATAAGCTCCTTATTGTTCCTGTCAATTTATAACGGACTTATAATAACTGAGTGGGATATACTTATTTAGGTATTTAATTTGCCTTTACGGCTTTTAGGAAAAAGAGGAAGTAGGTTCTCGGATGCAAGCAATAGATACGCAGAATATTCATCCCGAAATCGGCTAGACTGCTGGAGTAATAATTAAATGATCAAGTCATCCACAGGAAGGTGCTTCCAACCGGACTATTTGAGGCTTTGAAATGATACATGACATGATACTTTTTTTATATAAATTAGTCGGCAAACGAGCAGACGGATTACCTGATGGTAAGCAATCAGCGCCGCCCATGGACACCCGCAATGGAGGAGTTACGAGTGGATTGCCGACCTTTTAGGGATAAGGGTTTTGGAGATTTAGCGATTGGGGAGGGATCGGTTTTCAGTGAGGTTGTGGTATCACTCCGGTCGAGCCGACCCATTCGTGCCGAACCGAAACATGGCACAGACGAAAAGTGTTGAAGCCATTTATTATTATATTTTTGAGGGGTTTTTTAGATATAGACTTTCCCGTGCTGAGTGAGATCAAATAAACCACCACACACGCCTACTCCTGCGCCAGGCGGTAATCGTGGCACGTTCTTTCACTTGCACCCGTAAACGTAGCTTAGTGGGCCCCATCTGTTGTGGCCTGATGGCCCTTTGAAGTGAGCGCTCGTAGGTACATTTGGGGTTTGCCCGTAGCCACTAGCCGTTATTAGGTAGGTACTTATCCTGTTTTTGCATTTTTATATTAGTAACCTAGCCGAAATGGATATCTAATTAATATAGCAGATAGAGGGGAGGCCTTTGTTCAGCAATGACATCTAAAAACTACCCCGTTCATTCGGCTGCTCCAGGCTGGGGCTGCGGATCATTATTGCGCTTAATCGGCTACCCCGATCGCGTAAATATAATTATATAACACACTTAAACAATATTCGAAATTCGAAATGAAGTTAAGTTTTTAGACGTTGTGATGACAAGTGAATGCCAAGTGTAAGTAAGTGCTCTTTATGCCCTACTTTCGTTGCAGGTGCACTTGGCGCGCTGGCGGCAGGGTCAAATTTGGGTTGGTCGGCTCCGATAATGGTGAAACTAGATGCGAACTACGGGGGTTACGGTTTCCCTGTATCGAAGGCCCAGGGATATTGGATGGCTTCCGTGATAGCTCTCGGAGCCGCCTGCTCATGCTACCCGATTGGTTTCATTATGGATGCTGTAGGTCGGAAAAAGACATTGTTGAGTCTCACCATACCATTCTTAGTAGGTTGGGGTTTTATCACTTTCGCAAAATGTGCGAATACGTTGATTGCTGGTAGATTTATCACGGGGCTAGCAGGCGGAGCCTTAAGCGTCACAGCTCCTGCCTACGCTAGTGAAGTTTCTCAGAAGAAGATTAGAGGATCTATCGGAAGTCTTTTCCAACTGATGCTAAGTTTAGGAATACTTTTAGCCGTCGTTGCACATGGTCATGTTAATACCTTCGTCTTTAACTGTATGTGCGCTTGTATACCCCTTATATTTTGTAGTATTTTTATCTTCATGCCCGAAAGCCCGAAATATCTAGTAATGAAAGGCAGATACGAAGATGCAAGAGCAGCTTTAGTCAGACTCCGTGGGACGAAATATGATGTCGACAAAGAACTACACGAAGTTATAGAGAAAGAGTATGCATTGAGGAAGAAAGTAGCAAACTATCCAAATTATTTCAGCCGCTTCAATAACAGGCCAGCTCGAATAACTATGCTAATATGCTTTACACTAATGCTGTTTCAACAGCTTGCAGGCGTTGGCGTCATTTTTCTGAGCGCGCCACGAATCTTTGGATTGGCAGGAGTTCCATTGCCTTGGGCAATCACGACGATCATTCTTGTATGTAACCAAGTGGTGGCGACACTTATTGGCACTCTGATCCTTGATAGAGTTGGCAGACGTATCCTTTTGCTTCTCTCTGCGATGATAATGTGTATTTGTAGCACAACTATAGGGACAATTTTTTGGCTACAGGAAAACATTGACATTCAAAATTCGTATGTCGCATCCATTCCTATTGTTTGTATTTTCTTGTTTATTTATGCCTATTGTTTAGGTTTTGGCGCGATCCCGTGGATAATGGCCGGTGACCTCTGTCGGATGGATATCAAAGCTTTTGTGACCTCTACGGCTGCCACTATAAGTTGGTTTCTTATATTTGTTTCGGTCAGCAGTATGCACGTACTGACTGTCATAGTACCTATATATCTAATGTTTTGGATATTCGCTTGTTGTACGTTTACAGCATTCTTCTTTGTGTTTTATATTGTCCCTGAAACTAAAGGGCTGAGTATGGAAGATAAACAACAGCTTTTACACCTTCCAATTGGCGACAAGCAGATTCGAAATGGACCTGCGTGGCCTGTAGCGCCGACGACCTAGAAAGGTTAAGCTGAGAGAATCAAATTAGACATTTTCTGTTGATATTTCGTTTACAAATTGGTACCTAAGATCTCTTTTGCAAAAGCAGGTACCTTACAAGTCAACTGTTAAAAAGTTTACATGACCAACCTACATTGGTTACTTATAGTCCTTCACAATTTGCATGTTGTCACAGCAACTTGATATTGAAGATTGATTTACAAAGTTCGCTGTTCATTTCCCCCGCTTTTTTTAACATATTTTTTCTCAGTTTAGGATACTTACTTAGTGTAATTTTTATGGACGATAGCAAATTCGGCGATATGCCGACATTGTTTTTTTTACAAATTTATTAAACTTGGATACTTTCATAAACATAACGTCACGCGTTTTATTCCTGTAAGTAAAATGCATGTAGGTTATTTAGTAACCTACGATTACTTAGGTATTTTGTAACATTTATTTGTGTTGAATGTTGATTGAGGACACTCCCTTATTCCAGAATGTAGGTAACTCCCAAATCCCTCATTTGATCGCCTTCGTTCACTGAGCAACAACCTATACAACTAGTTACTATGTAGATTGGATAAGTTTAGTTTTTTTAGTGATAAATGAAATCCATATGGTAACACTTGCTAGAGTTTAAGTTTCACCCAACATTACCAAGCTACCTTCATGCGGTTTATAGCAACTCAATGTGCTGCAAAACTTTAGGTACATCATCTACAAGTGCATACCTACATGAAAACCCTAGAATATTTTAACTCTGCTGCGAGATCACTAATAAATAAAAGTGGACCAACGTGTGATCCCTGAGGGACACCCGATATCCCGCAGAGAAACTTGATTAAGGGCAACGAATAAATTAGATAGGATTGTTTATTATTTTGATTGAGGGGTGAGGGTCGTCGATCAGGTACCTTTTTCAGCCCTGAAAGGGATGGGAGGGAGTAACAGACTTTTGCTAACTAAAACAGGCCCTCCCTTGGTCTACTCCGTTTCAGGGGTCAGGCACATTATTGCGCTTACACCCGTAACCATATGATTTAAACCGATCAAGGAATGTCGAATCGATTATCACGTAGATTTTAAGTACCTACACAGGAGTTTTGTTATATAAGGCAACCCCCACGCTTTCATGGGCCCTACTGCCATCAGCCTATGCTGATGACTGAAGCAATCTGCGCCTTCCATAAACACTGAGAGTGTGGGAGGGACACCAAAGCAGTTGCAAGTGCGTTGCCGGCCTTTTGGGCAATAACACATTTTTGGAATTGTGTTTAAGTGTGGGAGAGCCATGCTTCGGCACGAAAGGGTCGGCTCGACCGAAGTGATACCACGGCCTCACAGAAAACCGGCGTGAAATAACCACAGCGTTGTGTTTCGCCGTGTGAGTGAGGGTTCCCGGAGGCCCTATCCTTCCCCTCCCCCAATCCCTCCTAAATCCGTAAATCTCCAAATCCCTAAAAGGTCGGCAACGCACTCGTAACTCCTCCGTTGCGAGTGTCCATGGGCGGCACTGATTGCTTACCATCAGGTAATCCGTCTGCTTGCTTGCCAAACAATTAAATAAAAAAAAAAATATGAATTAGGGAGGGATGGGGTAGATGAAGAATTGGCCTCGATCACAATAGGAATTAAGAGCTGTTTTAACTCCAAGAAACAGTGGGTACCTAACCCAGTTTCTGTTGGTACTTCCTAGTAATTTGTTACAAAGTTGGTAGACAACTGTTATATTACAATTTCAAGAACAAAAGGTAGGTAAAGTACTAACTATTCGCTTTAGAGTCGCAGACAATGGTAGACTAAAGCAAATGTAATTATCTGGCAAAAAGCAAACAATATAATAAAATATTGATGATGATGAGTAATAGAGTTTTTTTATTACTCGACACAATATCATGACTGCATTACACTGCCAGTTCTCTTCACAACAGAGCCTGTGATTTCCAAACCAACGAGTAATGTATATTAACCCATTTAGTTTACTCGTGTGCGATATGGTTTCAGTAATCTGAGCCTTGTGTCCTCGTAACAAAATACGTACTGCAAATAAATAGCTGCATTACCATTCTTGTTCCGATTGCGGTGAAATATGATCAAAACAACGTTTAGTTATAAAAAATAATGTATTTGTTACATTTATACAATGCGTACTAAAATATACATCGAAGAAACCACACTAATTGTGTGATAAACTTACAATTTGCTACTAAAAATAGTTTATTGCCAATAGGTACTAAACAAAATTTATAAATTAATTGAGGCAATCTATAAACTTACATACTAATCTCAATTTTTTTTTTGCTTTTTTCTCTCATGTTTGGTGATTTTTCTTTGGCGAGTAAGGTAACATGGGTTGTAAACTAAATTAGCCATGTGATTGCTTAAACATACAAAAATATAGAATTTATTACTTAAGTTAATATATGTATAACAGTTTATGTGGTGGCATAGAGTAAGTATGGAATACTTACTGATCAAAGTATTCTAATTCATAATATAACATCATAGATTTTCAACCAACAACATTAAACCACGTTTTTAAATGTTATGTTAATACATAGGTATAGTTTATTCCTTAATTTTTTTATTTTATAATTAAGAATAATAAACTTAATTACATAAAGTATTTGTTTACTTTACTATATGATTGAATGATATTTAAAATGAAACAAATTGTAATACATATTTTTAGAACTGACATAAGTAAAGACTTGGATTGTTGGGCTAAAATTTTGTGACTATTTAATATCAAAAGTGTACAACTGAACCATTTTTGTATGTGATACACAATAAAGGTTCAGCGTGCCAGTTACCTTGTTAGCTTGTCCTCAAAAATGGAACAACAATCATACTCTGTTACACCCATAATTTCACTATAAAAATAACACAGACTATACCAAACTCTAAACCAATAGCAATAGGGACTATGCTGCTGTAACATAGCTGCCTATCATAAATAAAATTTATCTAATACACTCTTAAGATAATAATATTATGAACTGATTAAATATTTACAGCATGGTGTGTTTACACCATTATAATAAGAATAAGTCTATAAGTTTAAGTTTGAACTTCCTCCGCCTATCTTTGAGTATGCACTTCTGTAGAAATTGCAACAGAAAAGCGAATTCATTATTGCGTTTAAGGACGTAGAACTCTGGGTCCTGTATAGACCAGAGGATACCTCCTCGACATTCGCTTCCCCAATAAACTGTTGCAAGTCACTCTTAGGGAACCCATCTTTATAATACTGCTTAATAGTATCATAAGCATCCATAATAACAGATATAAACAAACTGAGCACTACATAAATATACAAACTTATAAAAGAATATAAGTACACACGGCTAAACCACCAAAGCATTGGTGACTTCTTCGACATTATGGAGAATGTCGCAAACATGTCATCTCCGTTTATCAAAGAGAAAAGACATTCAGAGGTTGTCGCTAGAGATCTAAACTTCATGTGGTAAGGTCCTAAGATTAGCCAACCACAGAACATGAAGCCAGCATATAACAGCAATGCGCAGACTGAGAATCTGAAGATCTTCGGGGCTGCTTTCTTCAACGTAAGTATTACTACGTTGTAAGTCTTGAAGAATCCAAGATATCTCAATACTCCAAACCATACAAGCAGATTTCCAGTGCCAAGGAATAGGGAACAAACATTCCACTGGTCATTTGTAAACTGGTTTCGTTCAATCTGTTCCTTTATCGCTGATCCCATAATGATCAGTATGTCATTAACTATAATCATAATGTACCAGATATTGAGGAACTCTAGTCTTCCTTCCATACTCAAATCCTTGTTGTAAGTTCTCCTGAAGAACTGTACAGTTAACTCTTTCAATAACTGAGCTCTATAAATGGCTCTACTGCACAAAATAAAAGATATAGCACATATCAAGATAACCAGAATGTTGAGTATACTTCTCAGGACCTGATCTATTTTGTTATCCGTAATATAAGCTGTGTCTCCTTTGCAAGTCAATTTGTATGGTTCTGCCTCCAAAATTAGAGACATTTGTCCATCATGGTCTTCATTATCGAAAATGATTTCTATATCAAATCTGTAACAATCTGGAGGAGTTATTGGTCCCGCTGCTCTAAAGTTAATTGTTTTCAGTGAAAACATTAATTTAGCTCGAACCAATGATGCAAAACTTATGTTTAAGCCTGCTTTTTCAATGAACGCTTGAGAATGAAACACTTCATCATTTTTTTTTGTAAAGTTAACACAGTTTTCTACTATTTCCGAGTTGAATTCGTAACTTTCATTAAAGCCATTGATTATACCTTGCTTGTAGTTGTACTGACAAAATACTGGGGGAGGTTTGATGTTACTTTCATCATTGTAAGAGTATGGACCTATAGCATTTGTTAGAACATTGGAGTACCCATCATATGCATAGTCTAAAGTGTTATAGAATTCTTCAATTTTGTAAACTGCAAGAGGTCCAGCACCAGGAGGGTAGGCATTGATTTCTCTTGTGGAGTCCCAACCAAGAAGGAATAGATGTGAGAACGTGATCCGGTTGTCCCACGTGTAATTGACGTGATTATATCTGTTATGTGCAAACAAACATAGTTGAAAAGTAACCAGTACTATCTTTATCACCTGAACAACAAATTTGTATGGAAACTTCCTCTTGGCCTTCCATTTCTCGATAGGATTCATGAAGAAAAACTGCAGCTTACGTCGCATTTTTTCTTCCATTTGAGTGAGCTCGCTGAAGGAAGTCGGTCGTTGTGGGGAATTACCTTGGTGGTGGTTTACAAGGTTAATTTCACTGGTTCCTGCAATTTTCGACTCATCTTCGCCCTCCGAGCACGTCGTCTCCTCCGTGGACGTGATATTATCCATCGTTATAGCTTCTATAATAATTTTCGTTGATAATAAACAAAGGTCAGGTGATAAACAAACATTTACTTTTAGGTATGTTAGAGTCAATTTACCTTTGCGTTTGTGACTCCTATTGAACACTTGGTATAAATATTATTCAAAAATTATCCTTTCATTGCCAAAATTGAAATGAATTTAATTATTCCTGATTCTTTTGTTCCAAGGTTTTTGTTTGAATACCCATTTATATTTTGTCAGTGACACAACACGACACCATCACAGATTCGTTTATGAAGGTAGGTACGAAAATATTGTCATACTTATTTTTGTTCAGTCATTCAATGATACTCAGTCATTCATTCATTCAATAAATAATTATGTCAGGCATGGGCAAAAGGTACAATAATGAAATAATTATTATACAGATGTATATAGCAGGTAGCAGACCTAACAAAACCTAAATATTGCATTTAAATCCAACACATACATACAACAATAAAAAAATACTTATACAGGACCGGACTAAGGGCAGTAATAGTATAATAAATAAAGGAAATTTTAATATTTATATGCATTTTTATTATTTACACCTCCAATAGTTTTATCAAAATTTGAAAACAATGCTAATAAATATTTAAAACCCGCAATGCTAAAGGTTAAAGTTTGTCTTCGAGTTTTGTAAGCGCTACGAGTTGTTGTCAGGCAGGTAAAACATAGTCTGCTACAGCTTTATATATCTATGAATTGTACTGCGTCTTTGCAATGGTCTTACTCGTGGTCTTCGAAATGGGTAGGTACCTATTCCGAAAGCCGGAAGGTTTTGCTTTATGTTTTAAAACAGAATATAACGTACACTGAATATTTGGTTCCGAGATGCCACATTTTTGTATTAGTCTCGTTCATTAGAGAATGGATAATATTTTAAAGTTATATTAGGGTAAGTTTACAATCGCGGTTCTCTATGATCATGTTGACAGTTATGGCTGCTATCGAGTTGTCAAAATTTTCTGATGTTGTACGTAGTCTATGGTCAATGTCGTAGATACACATCACGATATTAGAGAAAAGTTCGAAATTTTTAATTTTATGCAGTCAAAAATAGCACAGGAAGCAATATAGAAGTTTGTTTTACTACACAAACAACTATGGCTTTAACAGTGGACAAATTGATGAACGACGAAAGGTATAAAGTGCAATTTTATTATCTCATACCTACGTGTTTGCAATTTTTTCAAGGGAAAGTTTGCAGTATAATCTAAAAAAGTATTACATGTAAATCCAATGAAATATTGCTGTATTAGCAGTGAGCATGTGAGGAAAATGTCGTGACGTAACTGAATAATGAAGCTAATGTGATGTGTGAACGGTATAGTTGTAAATTAAAGGAAATTGCAAGTCAAATGTAAATGTAAACTTTTGCAATGTTTACACATTTATTCTTTAGCCAACCATTACGCCGTGTTAGTGCCTGAATTGTGTGGTAACGCTTCATTTGTAACCAATGAACCACATTCCATTCAGGATGTAAAATATTTTCTTGAAAAATGTCAATTTTTATTAGTATGACCATGGCCTGGGTGTCATACTCTAATAATTTGCATCAAGGATTAAATTAAAATGTGCTGGTTACTTTGCCAACAATACTATTATAATTAATTTACTTTGTATTTTTTGTTTCCTGTGTATTGTGTTATATTTAAATAATAGCTTTAAAGTATTTGCAATGCTAGTAACAAACACCTCAAGAACTTTTGAATATACTTGCTTCATATAATCACAAATTAATAAAACCATTCAGATTCCAATATAATCACTTTTTTTATAATTATTGACAATGACTTGCTTCTACTAGATATATAAGAGAGATTACCTATTTTTTCATTGTAATCTTTAAATATTTGTTAGTCTTTGTTTATCATTATATAATATACCTCGTAAAATTTATGAAATTTCTAGAAATATACTTTATTCTATAGTACAAACTTTTTTTTTATAGAAAGCAAGACACTTATTGCATGATATCATACATAAATATGTAGCTAATCTCCAATCCCTAAATCATCCAATTCTCTGGTCAGCTACATACTTGTAACTCCTCAATATTGCAGTTGTTTATGGATGGCACTAAATGCTTACCATGTCATGAACCAACAGTTGGTAGACTGATCTATTGCAAAAAGTTTCTGTTGTTGTTGATATAGTTGGATAAGGAAACTCTGCAGAATAAACACATACATATATAAATGTGTTTGTATGTGTTTTGTCAATAACTTGATTTTTTCATACATCATAGTTGTATTATGATTGATGATCACTATTAAATATATCATTTTGGCTAATATCTTAGCCAAGAAGAATAAGAAATAATGTTATAAGGCACATTTTCAGCCATAGGGTTCTTTAGTATTATCACTAAATACTTTTTGAATAATAACACCAAACTGCATATTAATTTTTTTTCTTTTTGTTTTTAGATTTAGTGGTGACAGTGTCCTACATTTCCTCCTGTATCTACCGTTTGGTATATTACTATTGTCATTCAGAGTATTTTTGGCACTGGTATTATGGATTGCGTCAATAATATTGCCAAACAAATCTGCAGTCAGGCAAATGCTGTCAACACTTGCATGCTGGACATTTGGTATGAAACTTTTTTTTTCTGTTTTGTCTATACATATTCTATTAGTTAGAATTCTTTCAATCAAGAGGTTTATCTCTTGTCAGGACTTTCAAAAAAGCCAGAGTTATATTTATGTGTATCAGATAAATACTACAAATAATTAACCATCAAACTCGTATTATCCCATCAAAAAAAAAAAATTCTTGGTAAAATGTATAATATACAAAAATAGATTTCATTACTAAGCAGAACAAAACCACAGAGGTTGGTCAAAAGTCCTGTACAATAAGAATAATATTACTATAGGTACTGGTTTTCTAATGGTATCTTCTGATAAAGATCTCCTGTTTGTTTCAATGGGACATCTAAACATGCCTTCATGAGTTTGGTATATTCATAATAGTATTTACTGTTTATTTTATTTAAGCTTACTGAAAATGCTTTGGGATGTTTTTCATAATAAAAGGTTTTTGTTTTTCAGGTGTTTATGTGAAACTAAAGGGTACCCGTGACCCCCGCTGTAGTGTTCTGGTGGCCAATTACGTGTCTTGTCTAGATTCCCTAGCTGCCTCCCATGTGCTTGGTACAATCAGTGTAAGTTTACAAAGAGTATATATTTTTTTTACTATAAACAATTTTTTTTATGTGGTAGTTCGGCAAACGAGCCTACGGATTACCTGATGATAAGCAATCAGCTTAGCCCATGGACACCCGCAACAAACAGAGGAGTTACGAGTGCGTTGCCGACCTTTTTGGGATAAGGGATTTCGGAGAACTAGACATTGGGGAGGGGAAGGATTAGGCCTCCGGTAACCTCACTCACACGGCGAAACACAACGCTGTGGTTGTTTCACGCCGGTTTTCTGTGAGGCCGTGGTATCACTCCGGTCGAGCCGACCCATTCGTCCCAAAGTATGGCTCTCCCACACTTAAAATTTAATTACTTAATGGTAATTCTGTCATCAGCCATCAATTTATCATTATCATCAATATTCAATTAACATGGTAGGCAATTTATATTCATGTTTATATTAATAAGATGTTGCAATGGTCATTTAGCTATTTAATTAATGGGTCATTCAATTACATTCAATTTATCGACTTGGTAATTAGTTAAAACCGGTTCTAGTCTTGGACTTTCGTGTTCTTTATAGCGTGGTATACGTGGAGAGCTCTCTGAAATTGTCCGGTTTGATCGCCGCTGCATCGTTTCGCCATCGACCCACGCGAAAACACTTTCATCGTATAAGTTGGTTGGTAGTGAGAAAATGTTCGATTTTCGCAAAACTTCCTGCCTTGCACAGGAAAACTTTGGAATGATCTTTCGTGACGGTATTTCCGAACCGATACGGCCTTGAAACCTTCAAGCGTTAAAAGGTCGGCGACACGCATCTGACTCCCTGGTTCTTTGGGCGCCGCATCAGGCGATCTGTGTGCTCGTTTGCTTCCTATTACAAAAATTAACTTATAACAAACATATTTACACAATGTTCGTTACCTGAGAATCAACCAATTTACGAAAACGTGTCCAAATCAACCTTAGGTGAACATGTTTTGACTAAAACTGCAGCATTTTGTTTACATTTTATCCTTATACATTAAATATTCATAAGGTCTTAAGTTTATAGTATAATTTAAAGGAGTAGAATTTGAAGGAACCTTTCCTTCATATGGAATTTGGATTTAATTTTGACATAAGACAGGGCGATTACCCAGGAGACGGATCGCTTGATGGTAAGCAATCTGCGCCCCCAATAAACACACGGAGTTCCTGAGACAATAGGAACTATTGCTGTATTACTCTTTTCAAGCTGACCCATTCGTGACGAAGCATGGTTCTCTCTCAGTTTTTGTTGGCTTAGGTAATTTTATTTGTGTTCCGATTTTCTTAAAGCATGAAATAAGTGTGCAAGAGCCTAGTTTCGGCACGAATGGATCGGATCGATCGGAGTTATACCACGGCCTCACAGAAAACTGGCGTGAAACACCCACAGCGTTGTGTTTCACCGTGTGACTGAGGTTACCTCAGGCCCAGTTATCTCCTGTTACCTTATCTTTCCAATCCTTAAATATACGAAACCCTTTTCGATCGGCAACGCAATCGTAACTCCTTTGGTGTTGCGGGTATCCATGGGCGGCGCTGATTGCTTACCATCATCCAATATCCAATCAGTCCAATAAAAAAAAGAAAAGAAAATATTCAGTCAAGTCCATCTACTTTGTATTTGTTATATTAGTAAAGATATGTTTTATTGTGATGCGCTTTTTACGATTTCTACAAGTTGATATTACAAGTCAATGAACTATTATTTACATATTTATATTGATGTTCCTTAGTGCAGATGTCCTTAAAGCAATGTTCTGATATAAACGTATCTATATAATTATCATAAATATGTTCTATATGCGTGCCTGTATGCCTTTTAAGTTTTTATAATATGTTAGAGGAATTTCAAGTTGTCATTGACCTTTGTGGTGTGAACTGTTATTATTTTTAACGGTATATATCGCTGAATGAAATCTCTTGTAGGACCACAGAGTTGAAAATTTTAAGCGATTGTAGATTTTAACATAATTACGAAGGGTCGAAAATGCAAAATTTATTAATTGTATTATTCTACAAGTACTTCTTTTTTCTGAGACACGCAAACGGCATACGGATTTCGTGATGGTAAGCTATTGGCGCCGCCCATGCACACCCGCAACACCAAAGGAGCTACGAGTGCGTTGCTGACCCTTTGGGGATAGGGGTTTCGAATACTTAAGGATTGGGAAGTAATAGGGAGAGGAGGAGGGATTGGGCCTCCGGTAACCTAACTCACACGGCGAAACACAAGGCTGTGGTCATTTCACGCCGGTTTTCTGTGAGGCCGTGGTATTACTCCGGTCGAGCCGACCCATACGTGCCGAAACTTGGCTCTCCCAACACTAGGTTTGTTATGTTGATTTCTTATTCTTCTGATTTTCTGATTTTCTCACTTCTCATTTTAGTATTATCAGAAATCATCAGCATTTAGGCGCCTACTGCTGAGCAAAGGGCAATTCTCACATGGTTTGATTATTAACCAAATTGGAGTGTATTAACGTTTTATCCTTTTGTTCACAGCTCAGGAAATGGAAAGTACCGCCATTTTTTGCATCTACTCTGGGCATAAAGAATGCATCACAATTTGTGAGGAAGTAAGTTGATTTTCTATATTTATATTTTTCTTTTTATAATTCTTGTCAAGTCTGGGGTTTATGGTCTTTTAATAACTTTAATTACCTTATTCCTTTAGTGGTCTAAGCTGATAACAATTAATGTTTCATTAACTGTGACTCATCTTTGTTTATGACGATATTTTTTTCTTAGACCACAATTTTATTATCGTCGCCAGCCTATGATGAGTACCCACTGCTGATCAAAGGCCTTTTCTCTCTCGGAGGTTTGAGCATTAATCACCACGCTTGCTCAAAGCGGAGTGGCGATTTCAAAATTATAATTCGAAATTCAGTCAGTGGTGTCTTAATGAATTTAGAAAAGGAATTACATATATCCGAAAAAAAACACATTGGTACATGCCAGGCTTCGAATCCGCAGCCTCATGCATGAGAAGCGCCGGCCTAAACCTCCGGGCCAACACGATCTTTGCATAGATGACACGACCATCATTTGTATAGATCTATTTCCAACCATACAACTACGAGACAGAAAATCACAATACTATTAATACTATGATGAGATACTATCAATTTTTAAAATTAGATGTAAATATTGCAACGTTGTGTTTAAAAAAATATAAAACGGTCATTGATCCGAATTTTTATCCCATGTCTGGTTTGTTTGTTGCGAATGACTCATTAAAGTTGTAAGTCCAGATTGTATTGCGTTTCATAATTATTTATCAACCTAAATGATTTTGTCAAAGTTCTATTCGATCTTCAACTGTATAGTTTTGATATAAAGTCGAAAATGTAATGAAAAACGGTTAGCCTTTTCTGTCTGTAAATCTGCGCAAGAAGCTTTTTGTTTATTTCGCTTTAGAGATGTGTTTATGATTTGTATTTATGGTGAATTTAGGGGTTTTTTAAATTGCAACCCAAAATCGTCATTAGTTCATTGAACTTGATTGATAATTGATTTTTTATTCCATTGTAAGCGTTGATATTTTACGTTTTGTATAAGTCAATATTTGTTGGTTGTAAGTAGGTTTCATATAGCGCTCTACCTATCTCGGTAATAACGAATAGGTCACCGTTTTACCAATTTTTCCCTCTACTTTTCTTTTCTTTTTTATTTATTTTCTTTGATAAGAATCTTCTCCTAATAATAAACAAATAAATAATAAACAAAAAAAAAAATAATTGGCAAGATTGGTCCAGGCGTTGTTGAGTTACGCGCTTACATTTTGCGATTCACTTTTATATACATAAGTAGAATGTTAATGAAATGGTCTGAATACAGTGCCTCATAAAATTGAGGCGTGGTCGATGTGGTTTCATAAGCTTTTGAAGGTTTCCCCCCGTTAACATTATGTAGTCAGACAGACTACATAATGACTTCTAATGCGACGAGAAGTCATTTGATGCCTCTCTCACAATGAACGTTTTAAATAATATTGCACATGGAAAATTAATAATAAATCTCTATTTACAGACAACATTTTGCCGAGAGTCCTAGTAAACCGGTGCTGCTACAACCTGAGGGAGGACCCACCAATGGCAAAGGTCTGCTCAAGTTCTCAGAATGGCCCTTCCCTGTCGGCAATAAGGTCCAACCTGTCGCTATCAGTAAGTAGTCTTTGATATCATAATCCTGTCTATACTAATATTATAAAGAGGTAAAATTTGTAAATTTGTATGTAGGATATTATATTACAGATTTGTATGTAATCTTTGGAACCGCTGGTCGGATTGCCAAAATTATTTCACAGATAGGTAGCTACAATGTTCCCGAGTGCTTTAGGCTATAAAACATCGCGCCACGATTAAATGGAGCCGACCAGCGGGTGAAACCGCGCGAGAGTAGCTGGTAGTATTATATTTGGATAAAAGAATGGCGCAAATTGTGGTGAATATTATTTCTAGAACATCTCAACCTCTTTTGATATAAAAGTAGAAATTGCTTCAAATTGTTTTTGTTATTTAATGGCTTTCAAATCGTTTATGTCATTTTGATAATATTTTAATAGGTATTTGACATTTCATTGTATTGAGTCATTGAGATGCTGATATATGGTTCTGATTAATACTTATATGTTCTTTATTTAAAATTTATACTCTTTAAAAGTTGTTTCACCCCTAACCCTTATATTGATCAGTTGAAATTCTACAGAACAGAGGCGTCATTCTAGTTTTTTAGCTTTGACCTCATTAAGGGAAAGGATGTTATAAGTCAGAAACTAGGTTACGGTGGCTCTACTAGCCCTCCTAGCGACTTCTAGTAAGGGTAGCTACAATGCTACGTATTTCATTGGTTTTTTAAATTCGTTGCCCTACACTAGGATTTTCACCTGCGTCGTGGGTGCATTTACAAACATACAATTTTACATACACATAAGAAAGAAAGACTCAAAGAGCTGTTCCATGCAGGAATCCAAACTGCGTTTTTGCCAACATTAAAAAATTATTATAATGATTTGGTGGTATTTGTACAGGCGTGGAGCGTATGTTCACGAACGTGACGGTGCACGGGGCGGAGGGGGCGGCGGGCGCGGCGGCGGCGGGGGGCGTGTTCCCCTGGTGGGACGCGCTCTGGTTCCTCTGGTCGCCGCTCACGGTTTACACGCTGCGCCTACTGCCGTCGCTGGCGCCCCACGACGAAGCCGACCTCGCCGCCAGCGCCTCTGACGCTATTGCTGAAGCTTTACAGGTAACCGACACGCCATTCTATAAATCCGACCTAAAAGCTTTTGTTATTTTCTTCTAGCTCAAGTATCGATTTTAACGACGTAGTTCGCAATCGGATAACTAGATGGCGTACACTACAATACTAAATCGATCCGGTAACTTCAGCAATGAGTTGCTTCAGGACAGATGGACAGACTGTCATTTTTTACTTTTTATATTTAATTGTTTAATTTGTAGTTCTCTAAAAGTGACATTTATAATATTTTGTCTACTGAAAAACCAGACTGTACTATTGCAATTTTAAAATTAAAAGTACAAGGCTTTCAAAAAAAAGTATTTTTTACACCTATTATCTATTCCCTTTTATTTAAATCATTAATTCCTAAGCGAACGTCGGCGTTGGCACACCTTTTGTCCTTCTATTGTTTCTCGAATTACCACGATCTAAAGGTTAAAAATCTGGTAAGCTATTGTTATTACTATAACACGTGTAATGTTTTTTTTCCAACAGATTGAAAAGACAGAGTTTAAATGGGAGGATTTATGTCGCGGACGTCGCCGCGTTGTCCGCCGGCGAGAGGTCCCTCCCGATGTGACCCGTCTGGCCAGACAGGTCAAGGAAGTACTGCCCCGCGTGCCCATAAATGACATACTCCGGGATCTCGGTAAGTTTAATTTTATTTTAGTACCTAACAAAATTTGTTAATAAATAGCTTTTGCCCCCGGCTTCCGTCATACCTATCCTACCTTACCCAACCCTACCCTACCTACCCTACCCTACCCTACCCCACCTTACCTACCCTACCCTACCTACTTTATCCTATCCTATATCCTTCTCCGTTCTTAGCTACCTCCCTACCAATTTTCAGCCAAATCGGTTCAGCCGTTCTTGTATTGTAAATAGCGCAACTAACTCGACTTTCTCACTCGAATTTAATGGGACAAAAACCTGTGACGTCGTGATTTTCTCGTTTTCTCATGATAGTTATGATAGAAAAATTGTACCTGTCGATTTTTGCTGTTAGTAGATGGCGCTGTTATAGTGTTTGGTCTTCCTTGTCTTTAATACTAGCTGATGATAGTTAGATGTCGACTGGATTTTAGATTTTACAATAGTTTGTGTGCTAATGTGAATATTGTTACGAATTCCTCAAGTAATATCATTATTATGGCAAATAGCACGAATAATATAGTGGTAGCGTCTACCTGCAAATTCTATATTTTATACCTATATTATAAAGAGGTACAATTTTTAAGTTTGTATGTAGGGAGTAATCTTTGGAACCGCTGGTCGTATTTCCAAAATTCTTTCACTGCTAGATAGCTACAATGTTCCTTAGTGCTAAGGTTATAAATTATACTTGATTTGCGAATTTAAGTCGAGATATCGCTTCAAAAGCTGTTGTTTTTGAAATCCACGAGATACATTATTTGTGTGAATCCGTGGATGGCAGCTAGTTTAAGATAATTTCTTTAGTTAACGAAAGCTTTATAAGGAACTAATCACACAATTTTCTTTTCATTCAGCGTTAACACGTAGCGTAGACGTTACAATAACGAACTTCCTGGAAGGTGTGACACCTTACACGCCAGAGCCTGAGCCGGCAGCGGAGCCCCAGGCCTCCACGTCACAAGCACAGCCTCGTTACGTCATCCCCGTACCCACAGGCGTCTTCCCAAAGAGTGCGAAAGAGAGACAGCTCAGCTTCCAAGAACGAAAAGCTCAAATGATAGCTGAAGCAAGGAAAAGATATATTGAGAAGAACGGGCTCAATGTCGCTTTGAATAATTGTTGAATGTTATTGTAAGTAGTTTGGTTGTTTATTGAGAATATTTCCTAATACGAGTGTAGATTCGTGATATTATGAAGGTGAAATTTAGAGGCAATTTTATAGGTACTTTGTTATCCAGTTATACCAAAATGCCGCTAGGTTATAATACTGCAACGAAAAAACGTACCAGTTCAGCATATTCGTAAAGATAACGTACTGGTATTGTAAAATACTCTATGCTGTTAATTTTAATCTACTTATTGGAGACATGTGCTATCTCTTTCTCACATTGATATTAATAATTATTATTTTTTTCAATCTACTTATCATGTTTGAAATCTCTGTCTTTGAAACATACTTTCGACTGCCAAAAGCCCATGTGTTAAAGTTCCAAATATTTAAAAATTAAGATCTCATTAAAACTGTTTTTTTTGTGGGTTGCAGTTGAAAGGTATGAAATAAAAACAAATGAATAAAAACATGATTGTAAAAATAATTAAAACATTAAACTACATGCTGTATTGCAAAAAAAGACTTAGAGATTAAGTAATAAAGTCTTATATCTTCCAAATATTACGAATGTAGAACGCACGTAAAATAGACTTGATCCCAAATAAACAACTGAACTACACAAAGGATAGCAGAAGGGACAGATATTGAATAGGGATTCATAGGATAGTTTGTGCCTATTTAGGTCGATTACATGGTTGAACTTAATTGATCTAACTGCCCGTCTACATTACACTTATATAAGTTTTAAATCACAATCAATTAGTAAAAATGTTACTCGATAATATATTTTTAATTAAAATGTTAACGCGGGATAATTGTAATGTATGACGTCATAATTACGAGTCCTTCCAAAGTAATGACGTACTTGAAGATTTAGTTTTATAGCGAAATGTATGGTAGACACAATAATCATATTATTTTTAACATTAAAGTAAATAGCTATTGACAGTTTTATGGAAATTATTTTATATTATTTCGTGGTTATTAAACATTGAAGGTTGTTCGATATTCTTTTTTTTCTGGCAACACTCGCCATTTTTTTTAATAGTAATACGTTGTCTACATGTTAACATGTGCTAGGTTATTTGATAACTTATGTTCCTGAAATTGTATTGCTATATTATTTCCATGCGACGTACCTAGCGCACGTCAATATGTAGTGGAACTTATATTTCTTTTGTTATTCTTATAAGTAATTAATTATATTTTGATTCGGGCTCAGTCGGAGTTCGGTTGCGAAAATAAATGAAAAGCTTGATTGGTCATTCTCCAATTAGGCGGTATTTGCCCAATTACCGTAAACGTTTTTATTTTTATCATAACTTTACAGTAGTTTAGGTTACCCAAGTATGCACTACTTTCGTATGATTTGTGTACGAGGGAGAAGAAACAAATGGCCGATTTATATTAGTTGCAGCATTCGTGCGATATTATCATAATGTTTGCTATTTAGTCTAGTAGCTGGTTGGCAATATAAGCCGACAAAACTGAATATGGAAACTCGCTCCGTAAGCACCCCTAAGAAACACAATTTTAAAAAGATTCGATAATATTCTTATTTATTTATCGCAACCGTATTAAATTCATGACTGATATTACTATTTAAAATGCTCTTTTTATTGAAGTTGGTAAATTAATACATCTTTTTACCTAGTCCTTTCCTAAAGAGGCTTAGACCTAGATTCTCAAACTATTATTATGTCGATTTTAGGTTTAAAAGATAATTCTTTATTCTTACTTGAGAGTTTAGTAGTGAAATAATTTATTCTCCGACTGATGCCTTATTTAGGACGTTGGAATTGAATATTTTGCGAAATATATAAATATAGTATAGAAAAATCAAAGATTATTTTTCTTATGGTAATCGTATTAAACTTCCGTGTGTACATACTTCTTTATATAATTATATAAATTATAAAATCACGCCTGAATGTAAGTTCAAACGTTATAGAACTGATTTTGATTGTGTTCTGTTAGAATAAAATACATAAAATATAAACATTTGTTTTATTTATTCGAGTTCTGCACACTACTTTAGATTTATGCAATAAAAACGCTCGTTATAGTTATTCGGGGTTGCGGGTGCAAGCATAATTATGTACGACCTGGGCTGGAGCAGCAGGAAGAAGCAGAAGGAACGATGAGTGTTTCAGTCAATAAGAGTCTGACAATCCCTCCGCCCGCCCGCTCCGCCCTATAAAGGAAAAATCAATTGATGATATCCCTCAAAAACAGTCATGAACTTGTGGCCCGAAAAACAAAGTTAAAAAGCTCGAAAAACCAAAAAAACACGACTAATGTGGCCTTCGATATAAGAAATGAACATAATTTTCGTTATTTTTGTGCTGGTTTATTGTCATAAACCCTGATGCTAAGGTATACGTACTTTGAAACAGAAACAAACTCTCTCTCGCCACTTAGGGCGGCAGAAGATTTTCCTATTAAAACAAAAAGACTTAGAAAACCTTGATGGTTGTATGTTTACAACCATCTTCAGAAAACATGAATGCCACAGCTGAGACATCGTCCTTGGAAGGCCACAAAGAAACGAAAGAACATTGCCTGGTGCTTCTTAAAAAACTCTAGTGATGCGGTTAAAGCGTATACATTTGGAAAATATCTTGAAAACACCCAACACTGATACAGGGTCTTTAAAAACCCGTCAAGTTGCTCAACTACTTATCGGCATCGAAAAAGAAATTAAGATATCGCTGTAGGTATCGTCATCACGATATCGGCAGCATTATATCAATGAAATTTGAGGTTGAACGGTTGGTCATACAACTTCTTTGTCTAAGCAAACTATTACTTATCTATTAGCTTGCGTACCTTAATATTCACTAACTCGACCTTTCATTATAATTTCCCACTTCTATCTCTTTCCTATGAACTTCCAAAATTTCCTGATTCCCACTCGCAAAGCCAAAAGAATATACTATAAGCAAAACGTTCTAGCAAAGAGGAGTCTAAGTCTAAACCTGGCTTTGATCGAACTGAACGCATCAAACGAGTTGTGTGATCAACTGTTGAGGGAAAGAGGATACTAGGACTATCAGAGGGAATTCACATACGTTTTGAACAAGAAAATGTGTGATTGGGGATGGGGGATGGGGCTCCAATTTGTCGTGGATGAATTCAGGCCATGTTGCGTTGAGTGTGATAAGTACCACATTAAATAATAATAATCAATCAAAACAACAGCTACACGAGGCTAATAGTAAAATTTTTGAACTTGAAATAAACAATAAACTTTAGCATAGCGGCCGGCTTGAATAATTGTTAATTCGTAAAGTCGTGGGGACACGGAGGTTGGCGCCCGCTTATCCATACGGGTGAGGGTTCGAAATCTGGCAAGTACCAAAGTGACTTTTCCCGAGTTTTAAGTAAGTATTTTCATAGATTAATTAGATACCACTGACATACACATGTCCTGGTCACCCAGAGGTTAAGGCGCCGTTTCTCATGCATGAAGGATGCGGGTTTGAAACTTGGCAAGTGACTTTTTCCGAGTTATATTTACTTTCTGTGACTATCTAGACACCACTCACATACGGTGAAGGAAAACATCGTGATGAAACCTGGACTTATAATTTCTAATTATAAGTTTGAAGTCGCCAACCCGCATTGAGCAAGCGTGGTAATGAATGCTCAAATCTTCTCTGTGTGAGAAGAGGTCTTTGCTCAGCAGTGAGCATTTACAGGCTGATGATCTACAATAATACATACAAAGAGGTATGTTTCCACCTCATAAGAAGGTAGGTCAAATCATGAGTCATTAAATCTGGTAATGTATAATGATGCAATTAAGACCCAATCATATACCAATTAGCCTGCTTCCAATAACACCTAAAGGTAAAAGAATTGAAGATTCTTTGGAATTTAGAATTCTAAGAATAACTCTAATCATCTCCAACACTACTGCCTAAACGTCATTTCGGATTTCGCTAGAGACGGGCCTGTAGAACAGCAATATAGTTACAACACTGTGGAACAGGAATACAGATTAGAAGTCCACATAAATTAGGCTTTCGGACTAAAACAGTGTTGTAACGGTGTTTTCTTGGATATATCTCAAGCCTTTGACAGCGTGTAGCATATGTACTACTATTAACAAAAAAAAAACTTTTAATTTCTGCTCTTATAAAGTCATATTTAAGCAATAGGTATTTTTGTGAAATAACCGGAAAAAACTACTGTACAAATAGTCTGAGCTACACAAATAGTTGAGCGGGAGTTCCTCAGGGTACAATATTATACCTGCTCTTTACTCTTAATTCGACGGAGAAGTGAATGGGATATTTGCTGATGATACTCAATCTTTTCATCGGATAATTCACCCGAGATTTTTATATATTTACTATAAATACATTACCTTATTTACCTTCAAACTAGTCTTGACCATATATCTCAAAATAAGAAAAAAATTGAACCTGTGGTAACTTCACACATACGACGAAACACAAATCTGCGTTTGTTCCACGTCGAGTTTCTATTAGGCCATAGACCTCCGGTCGTGCCGACACATTCATGCCCTAGCTTGGCTCCCACGCTCTAAAATGCATTCTGCTTTCTGACAAACCTAACCTACCCTACAAGGCATCTCCGAAGCCAGACCATTACAAAGAAAATATCAGAAAGAATCACGTCATATAATGATCGTATAATATAATAACTAGCGCAGAGAAAAATAACGACACATTTTTTAAAAACATTTATTGATTTAAAAATACAAATTATCGACACTCGAACTTATAGTCCCAGTCTATGCGGAGTTCTACGTGGAGTGTTGAGCCCTGGCGTAGCGATCTCTTGTTTTACGGGTACATCTTCTTCTTTCTTCTTCCTTTCTTCTGCCATCTTCTGTTCAGCTTGCTTCATTTCTTCTTCCATACGTTGCAGATGTACGGCTGCTTCCTTGCGTTTGTCGCGGTTTGATCTGGGAAAAGAAGATATGAATGTTACATGTTATGATTTAGGGCTTGTTTCATCAGATGAATTTATTAAAATTCATTCAATATGTAATTGGTATGAACTATGTGCCTACGCATGTAAGTTAGTTATTGGGAAGTTATATGAATGTGGTGAAGCAAGTTTATTCTTGTAATAACGAGACACGAACTTTATTCTGATCACCGAATACAATTTCAGAATTCGTGTTATCAATGACAAATTTCGTAATAAAAACCCAATCATTATTTCACCAGCACAGACAGTGTACTAAGACATTTCACGACAGCGAGATTTTAAAATTATTCATTTAATGCAATATACTGTTACTGTAAAACGGGGAAAAATACTCACTTTCCAGTTTCCTTGACCGAAAAGAACATAGGTCCCAGTTCAGCGAGCCACCTGCCGTCTACAGCAGTGACGCAGTGCATGTACTCCTTCGTAGTCATCATCAGCTCGTAGTAAACTACATAGTCCGGTGAGTTACCCAGCCCGAAGAGGGCCGAAGTTGGGTGCAAGTGACACGGCATACCCGTACGACAGTTCACGTACTCCCCGATACCCTTCAGACGGGCTGCTTGCTGGAAGTAGGCTGTGGAGATAAAATAAATATTTGTAATTATATGGACCAAGAGTTCAACCTTGCGGCATTCCTGTATTTCAATCATATTTGTATGTTATTTTTAAGATTAAAGTATTTTTATGAACTTAATCAGTTAAATAAGGAGAAACGGAGAATCTTATTTAATAGTCATGTTAGCATACTGCGCATTGGGATAGTTTATAATAGTTTTTTACGAAGAAAACTATCGAAAGCCTAAGACGATTCGCAAAAATATTTAAAAGTTTCTTAATGACGTACACATCCAAGATTAAGTTAAGTTATTAAAATATATGAGAAATTGAAATTAAATCAATATGATTCACTTACCTGAGCAGATACACTTGCGTACAAGGTCCCAGTCAGTGCCGCAGGAGACGAGTGGTAGCCTCTGCTGCTGCATGATATCCTTCAGTTGCTGTCTGACCTCGCGAACCTTGCGCATCGCCTTACCATGCACAAAGTGCTCCGTGCACCACTGGCCCGAGTAACTAAAAGTTAAGACACTTGTTGTTGCATGACTTTTTATCAATCAAATGTGTAAATTTTAGAGAAATTGTCAGCACGTAGCAGTTGAGTTACAATATCAATGTGGTAAATTTATCTCATCCACGACATTTACGGATAAGCATACAAAAACTAATTTTACTAAAGCTTGAGATAAAACGTGGCTATATAGATCAAATAGCCTTTTTATTGTCCAAGATAACATCTCTGTCTATCGGTTCTTTAGTTGAGATATTTACTCGTTCTAACGTGTTCTCATGAGAAGAACGAACAATAAATTCGTTGGTTGATCGTTTTCATTTGTAAATGGTGGTGACATTCTTAAATCAGTATGAATAGAAAACAGAAAAACTGGCAGAAATACAAATCTTGACGACAACATACTTGTTGGCCTTCCACTGGTTGTACAAATGCAGCAGAGTGAGATGATCAGACTCGGGCACCTGGAACTTCTCCTTGACAGAGTCCGCTTCTTCCTCGCGACCTTGAGGTCGGTAGAACACCGACGGCACTGATAGCATTGATACTAGAAATAAACAATATGATATGAAAAATGAATATAAAAGAAAACCTGAATTCTATAGATGTTTGTGGGCCAGCTCGGTAGACCGGATACCACAGCTTTTATGAAAACCTGCGTGAAACAACGATTACTTTGTGTTCCACTCTGTAAGTGAGGATCAATCCTTTCCGTCTCTGCAAAATTTCCCAATCCTCAAGCAAATTCTTAATCCAGAAAGGGCCGGCAAAACACTCTCACACAAGCAGAGAATGATCAGAGAGATCACCACTGCTCGTTTGTCGACAGTTTCCATAAAAAAACAAAGTTTGAAAGGTTAAAACATAAACCTTTATCTTGGGATTCAGTGGATTCAGATTAGTGATCAAAAGTCGTCAAAAATTATTTCGATAAAATTAACTGTTCTATTCTGGTGATTTTTTAAGTGGAACAAGTCCATTGTTTTTTGTCTTTAGCTAAATAGAAAACTTCGGCTATTCTGATCCTCAGCAGAATTCGGGACATATCGGAATGACGTCTTTCTCCAACATCTAGGTATAGGCTAGTGATATGAGAAGTGATAAACCAAAAACCAGCACTTACCAATAATGAGCACTTCAACACTACACCCCATTTTCGCGCTGACGATGAGCATGTGACACTGCGGTGGATCTAGAGGGAACTCCGCCATCTGTCGACCAAGAGGGGTGAGGGCTCCTGTGCCGTCTAATGCACCCAGGATCCATAGCTGGTACATTGAGTTCAGGATCGTGTCCTAGAAATGGGAAAATATTTACATGAACATTTAAAAATGAAAACGTTTAACGATAAAATGTACTATTTTATAACTGAATTGTTGGTTACCTCGCACATACTACACTACATGCCTTCGAAATATCAGGCGAAAATTGAGTGTTCTGGGGTATGATATGCAATGTGCTTAGAAATATATAGGTATTGTAAATATAAAAAAAAAACCCTTGAATGTCTACGAGGTCTTATTTAAAAAACAAAATCCTTTACTGACCTGGGGTGGTGGGTCCATAAAATGGAATGCAAGAAGGTCTTCTACGCCCAAACTCTTCAATAGAAGCACAGTATTAGCGAGATTGGTTCTCTGTATCTCCGGTACTGTGGATGCTAATAGCTCGTGTTGATACTGTCTTTGTGTGTAAAGACAGAAGGCCTTGCCCGGGCCTGTACGGCCGGCACGACCTGCGCGCTGGCGTGCGTTCGCTTGACTTACTGGGTAGATCTGCAAATATTGTAGAAGTTGAAGGGTTGTATTTGTCGGTGAGTTGAATAACCAGGTTCTAATTGTTAGTAGAATGGGTATTCTTAAACTCTTTCTTACTAAGTATGGGAGATGGTTTGGTTATTTCTGAACTTTGCTCTGTAAAGGTACGGAGATTGCGATGTAGTAGGTTATTTGTCACAGAACAAAGTGCATTTAAATGTAGAAGAGCCAAGCTTCAGCCCGAATGGTTCGGTTTGACCAGAGTGATACCACGGTCTTACAGAAAACCGGCGTGAAACAACCACAGAGTTGTGTCTCTCATTTTGCGATATATGGTCCAGGCTGGCTTGAAGCTTTGTATAGCAATCTTTGGTGAATTATCTAAGGAGATGATTGCAGTAACATCAGCAAATATCCTAGTCTCGTCACCTTGAACTGAATGGTTAATACCAGGAATATTATTGAACCCAGTTCACTACCCTGAGGAACTCCCGCTCAGGAGCCCTTTTTTGCACAATTTTTTGTTCCAGATATTTGACAAAAGGTACCTATTACTTAGTAATGACTTTATCAGATACTATAGAAATTAATAGGTAATTAATAGATTAGTATTTTTTGAGTAACTTTAGTCCATCGTTTCACACGCTGACAAAGGCTTGAGATATATCCTAGAAAACTGCGTTACAAAACTGTTCTAGAATAGTAACTATCGTGAGACTTACTAAATTTATTGAAAATATCGACTTACGTATAATCGAGATACATATAATGAGAAAATCTCTACTAGCAACGCGCACGCTGCTCAGGAATAAAAGCCCCTATGTGACTTGAAACTAGTAAAGCTTTTTTCAATAGTTTAACGTGAATAAGTCGTTATTTACAAAAGATTTAATACTGTTTTAGCTAAATGTGGACTTTTAATCTATATTTTTGTTCCGGAGGCCCAATATTTTCAGTCCCGCAATCAATAAATGTCCGAAACACTAATCAACCAAAGTCCGGTAACGTACTCGTAACTCCTCTGGTGTTAAGGGTGTCCAAGGATGGATGGATACGATTGTTTTTGATTTGAAAAAAAAAAAGTTCTATCTGCTTACCTGTAGTGCGTCCATACCGATCCTCGGATTGTACACCTTGAGCTTGCAGTATCCGCTGTCGATAACGTACATGATGCCGTCCACCGTCAGTGACGTCTCTGTCAAATTAAAATTAGGGAATTTGTATATTTCAATTTATTACGAAATTACTACGAGTGTGTTATACATGGGCGGCGCAGATTGATTAATATCAGGTAATCCGCCGAATAATATGCCGCTCTAATTGCATCATAATCGCAAAAATTAAACCAAGAAAACACATATGACTCCAGAAACATAAAAAAAGCTCAAAATTCGCTTTAAGAATATAATACCTCATTATACAGCGAAAACGAATCGCTTGTGACAAATAAACCAACAAGATAAAGAGTTAGGAATACAGTAATATATTTCCGTCTTGGCCCACGTATACAGCAGAAACATCCACATCATCAGCCTATAAGTGACTACTGCTGAGCAAAGGCCTCTTCTCACACAGAGAAGGTTTGAGCAGTAATTACCACGCTTGCTCAAGGTTAATAAAATTGGTCATTTCGAACTTATAATTAGATTTTATAAGTGCAAGTTTCCTCACGATGTTTTCCTTTACCATATGTCAGTGGTGTCTAAACAATCATAGTATACCTCGGAGAAAGTCACATTGGAACTTGCCGAGTTTTGAATTCGCATCTTTACGCTTGAGATGCAGTCGTCTTACATCCAGGCAACTACGATACGGCAGAAACATTGCGACGGCGGCATTATGTTCAGTGAGCTCATATTACCACGTTACCACCTGCATTTGTGGTAAACGGAACATAATGCGTTCATTATTCATTGTGGCGGGAGTGTGGTCACCGGATAGTGAGTATATTCATACTGTATACATGTGTTTTATTATAGATTTATCAGAGATTGCTTTTGGTTTGCGGTTTTATTGAGCTATGTTTATTATTTTACTACCAAGATATTTGTATAGTTACTATCGTGATAAAGTTAATTTATTAAACAAAATTATTAATTAAAAAAATACTTCAGGCTGCGCAATGTTCATGTATCAGAGTTCTGTTAATTCACTTGAGTAAGTCGTTATTCCGAATTAATTTCCCACCATGATATAAAACAAATCACATTGTGGTCTGAGATTGAGGGGCGCGCTTCTTATGCTTTAGGTATAGTTCAGTTTGAAAACCTAGCAAGTTGTGTGACTTTTTGCAAGTTATATGTACTTTCTAAGTTTACTTCGTGTCTAAATAAACTCATAAAGTACACATAACTAACAAATTGTGAAGAAAACATAGTGAGGTAACCCAGTATTATAATTTATAAAAAGTTTGTCAATCACCAATCCGCCTTGAGCAAGCGTCCTGATTAATGTTTGATACTTTTTCGTGTAAGATATTCCTTTTTTTAATATTGTATGTTCAATAAAATGTTTAGTAAAATGTTAAATTACCAGCAATATTGGTGGCGACGATACACTTCCTCTGGCCAGGTGGTGCGCGCTGGAAGATCTTGGCCTGCAAGTCAGCTGGCAGCTGGGAGTATATTGGAAGGACGGTGAGAGGGGGCGCGCTGTCCAGGTCTGCCAGGCGTTCCGTCAGGACCTGTAAGCAAAAGAAAAACATTTAAGATGTAATTTCCCTTTCACCGTTAAAGCAATTAAACAATGATTTTTTTTCTCAAATAAGTCATAAAACGGCACTTTTACTCGTCAAAATTATATATAAAAAAGTAGCCGGCACGGTCGACTATCAGACAGAACTCAAGATCGAAGCGGCGGCGACGGAGTTTAATAGGGTGGTTTCCAATAAGACTATTTAAATAGGTAGAATAATTATCGACAAGCCACCAATACTTGTACCTATCTATTAATTCTGTATAAGGTTTCAACTCATGACTTTATAATATTGTTTGTCAAATAGCGTACTCATACAAAAATAATTATATCGTTCAATTAAGTAAGCGTGATTATTTTTGACATATATTTAATTTTAAATTATTTGCTTGACCAAAACTAATAACTAATGGAATGTAAGTATGAAAATATGGAGCTCTTACCTCACAAGTAACTTCAATGTCTTCCTGTCCTGGCATGAAGATCAGGATATCCCCTTCTTCTGGCTGCAGATGTATTTGAAGAGCCTGAAACAATGAATTTTAGTTACAATTATTATGTGGCTACCTACAATTATTCACAAAAATATGAAACAATTCTCTTCACTTCTCTTTAGCTCTGAGGAGGTATCCATTTTTGGCTATCTAAGATATCGGTAATACTAAAGCGTATGTCAAAAGTATATTATTGTATCACAGATATATTATTAGGATAACTTTAAGGCACATTCTTTTTCTACCTTGTAAGCGATACATTCGCTAACGAGCAATTGGATTACCTGATGGTAAGCGATCGGAGCCGCCCATGGACACCCGCAACAATAATAACATAGTTACAAGTGCGTTGGCGACCTTTAAGGGATTAGGTTTTTGATATTTAGGGATTGAGGAGGGATGGTGGAGCGGAAGGATTGGGCCTACGTTAACATGAGTCACGAGGCGTGAAAACGCTGAGGTTGTTTCACGCCGGGTTTTCGTGCGTTTGTGGTATTACTCCGGTCAAGCCGACCCGTTCGAGCCAATTTTCCAAATTTTTAAAGTATTTTTTTTTGTATAGACATATCCGTTTATATTGTTACTTTCGGCTGCGTGTGCGATTATGATTTCTTTTCGCTTTTTCTATACATAACTTTATCTGGAATTTACCTCTATCAAGGTTTAACCATGTACTTACAATACTTTCTTCGATTTCCTTTTTCTATTTGCGCTAGTTTAAAAATAGAAACATTCGGGTAACTAATTATAACTATGAACGAGTACCATGGGAAAACATGTTCTAATTATGGAGAGTGAGTTCATTGAACTTATAAGCATGACCCTTTTATTTTTAGGCACACTCATACATACAATAAATAAAAAATATTGTTTGCTCATAAAACGTTTAATGGATGTTTATCAGTTTGTGGAAATAACCTAACCATATCTAGATGCCATTTTTGAATCGAAATTTATAGCCGATGCTAACTTAAAAGTTTGGATCGATCTAATTTTTTTAATGTAGACATTAACTCAATCCAAATCCGAAAACAATGCAATTTTTAAGTTAGACTTAGCGAATTATGTTGTATTTCGTAATGTGTGTGAAACTGAAGGAGGACGCAGGCGCGATCCTGCTACCATCTCCAATTGCCAATCTTCAATCCTCTTTAGAACTCCCAATTCTTCAAGATTTCGATTGCTTACCATCAGGTGCTTGTTTGCCGGCCTTTCCCGTAAAAGAAAAACCAAATATAAAAAAAATCGTTACAGTTCTAAGATAACTACTACTAAATCGGTTATTTAATTACACCCATTCGTTGGCATAATGACCTTCAAGTATTAAATGTAAAGTATGAACGTACGTAAAAATTTAACAATTATTGATCACTTTGTAAAGTTTCTACACATCACACTACGGTAAATAACCGTGAAGATTTTCATACGAATATCTCATGAATATTTAGCGGTACAATGACGATCAGGCAATCATTATAAATCACAATAATATCCCATCAGTGTGGCCATTATTTGAATGAAGACATCGAGTTATGCTGTATAACGGGCTTGTGTAAAGTACAGTATGAAATAAACGTCTCTTATCTTCGGAAAACTTAAGTAAAATGCATTAAATTACCTATTTATGTAACAACTTCTAATTTGGATTTTGTTTTGAGGGAGAAAATCATTCACCGTCTTCTCCCGCCTTGGTTATGGCGAGTGGGGGTCACGGACTCTTACTGACTGAAAACCAACCCGTTCATTGTCCTGCTCCAGTCACAGTACCAGGTCTGACATCGGCCCTATCTGTGGTGGTCTTAATGGCACTTTTAGGGTTTAGATGGAGGCGATTTTATACTAGACAGGGCCATGGACATCCGCTACACGAGAGGTATTTAAAGTGCGTAGCTGGCCTTTGGGGTTCAGCAATTTGTGTCACAAGGTTCCAAGTCAAGTAAGGTTGTGTTACCGTATAATTTTTAACTGACTTTGAAAAACAGGAGATTTCTCAATTCGTCCATATATGCTGTTTTGAATAGTCTAAATTAGTATACATGATTTACTTATTTATATTTATTGAAATATATCGTGTAAATGAAAATATATCGTTTATTAAAGTATTAGTCGTTAGTTAATTATTATCAATTGCGTTGTTCATTAACAATAAAAAGAAAATATTTTTGAATGTCATGTTATTTAATTTAATAGAGAATTTTTGTAGAGGGCGCAGTGACCTAGCTACGTCGCGTCGTAATTAATAAGCTTTTAAGGAAATTAATGCGTTTACCTTTCTATAGGTCAACCATTAGTCGTCCGTCTATTAATAAAGTACGTAATAGTAAGCTTTGTGCAATTACATGACGTCGTAAAATTACTACCTCACCAGACAGGTGGTAATATTTTGAAAACGTGACGTTTTTTTCAAAGTCAAAGTCATTTATCCCAACTAAACTATAAATAAGGTACTTTAGAAACGAAAAATAGAAGTGAAGCTAGGTGCTCGATCCAAATTGTAAATTCGAACGGAGAAGAAAATACCTAGCTTCCGAAAGGCCACATTGGTGTTTTTTTTGTGAGGGGTAAATCATCCAATTACTTCTCCCACTCAGGGTGGGGTGGCAGGGAGTGTCAGACACTTACTGACTAAAACGCCCTTGTCCAGCTCTGCTGTTGGCGTCGTATCCGTCATGGATTACTTATAGGCATATTTATTTATCCAAAAACCAATAAGACATATTTCGGCTCCACTCAGACTGACAACAACTAGTAATTATGTAGATAAATGGTTGGTATAATTAGTTACGTGCACCAACTACTAATTAGTAAAGAATTCTTCACGTAGGTTTATGAAATTTGTTGGTCTAATGATTAAATGATTAATTAATCAATATTGAATTTTGTCTAGAATAGAATTAAGTCCTTTATTATGGAAGACAAACACATCAACCACTTTATGATTGATGTTACTGGAGGCTTAATCCTTCCCTTTCTCCAATCTCTCCTCAATCCCAAAATCTCCAAATCCCTAATCCCCAAAAGGTCAGTAACGGAATCGTAACTCCTCCGTTCTTGTGTCCATGGGCGGCGCTGATTACTTACGATCAGGTATTCAATGGGCTTGCCGACCTATCACATACAAAACGAAGTGTCTTATCATGATTTGACCTTTTTAGAAACAAGAATCGCCCTTCAAACCTTTCATATTGATTATTTTACTCTAACTGCTAAGCAATCACTATAAGGGTGACAAAATGGTCACGCGACCACAGTTCAACGCACGAAAATGTCCGTAACACAGTAACACTAGAATGTACAAATTCAATTAGCGGGCCAATCAATACGTCCGCCGCGCCTTGCCAAAGATCATTTGGTAGATGTCACAATGATTTACTTAGACTGATTAAAAAGTATTGTGTGAAGAGTCCAAATTATCTATGCTAAGACAGAAGGTTTCTTTTGTATCGACTGCCTAGTATTGAGCCTAGAATGTGAAACCGCTTCAGTGCTCATAAAACTTTGAGAATGTTCAACTAAGTTAAATAATAATATATTAAAATCAAGAAAATCTAAGTAATGCATATATATGTAAGCTGCAATGCCCGAAATATTCATGTTGTCATACTTTACAACTTTGTGTTGACAATTGACACTGAATGAAGTAATAAAAAAAACTTTAAATAATACAAAAACTATAGTGAATATTTCCGAATAATTCGCATAACGGCAGGTACAGAAGATGACAGTATAGAAAAAGAAATGAAAATTCAAATATCGAATTTCATTTGCCATTTAAATTGAAGTAATCAATACAATGTTCTTGGTATTCTGCCAATAAAAATGGCGGGAACTAATTCTTATTATGATCATAAATGTTAATTCATCAGTTCGTTCCTGGTTCAGAACAAATATTAGTTTGGCCTATAGATTCGTAACACTTATTCTGGGTCCAGCTGTTTGGGAACGTTAAATATGAGTGTGTAAGCGCGCCCGCAAAATGTCGACCAAAATGATTTATACGGTTATACCAAACTTAGACCTAAATTAGCTGTTAAATGGAGGATTTTATATAAAGTAATGACTTCTTTGTGAAGTGAAGTGTGTTCAGTAGTAGTAATTTAGTCAATTTTGTAATTTCACAGTATGTTAGGTTTAAATTTATTTTATTGATTTTTCTCTATAACAGAGAGGTCGTAACAAATAATTTGATTCCATCCACTTCACTGGTGTTGCAGGTGTCCATGGGCGACACCGATTGCTTACCATCAGGTAATACGTTTGCTCGTTTGCAGTCCTAACACATAAAGGAACATTAATAGAGACATTGTATTGCATTATGTGACTTATGATTTAAGTAATACGTATTTATATTCCTTACACCAATAAGTATCATTAATCCCAATACAATATCTTGCCGCTGCATAACACCATTGACATTAAAGACATAATGACATAATTAAAATGAATTTAACCACTTTATTAAACAACTCTGTAATCTATATAGTTTCCGTGATATCACCGCTAGATTACGCTACTAGTCGATACGAATCGATTTATCAATGTGAAAATGGCGCGTAATTTAATTACTTCCGTTTTAGTTTTAAAGTAAAGAATACGATTTTAAATTGAATAATTTGCTGATTTTGGTGATTTTTGTGATATGTCGACAAACGAGCCGTTGACAACCAGAGGAGTTTCGAGTGCGTTGCCGGTCTTAGGTGTTTAAGGTTTCGGAGGTTTAGAGATAAAGAAGGAATGACGGGAGAGGAAGTATTAGGCCTCCGATAAAGATTTCACCTCCAGTAATCACATACATTTACCACATAGAGAAGTACTGCCGGGGTTGCGGGGTGAGCGTAATAAGGCACCGCAGCCTCGGCCCAAAGCAGGAAAAGGGACAGGGGTTTTTAGTCACTAAAAGTCTGACACTCCCTTTCGCCTCATCCTGGGCGGGAGAAGTCATTTGAGGATTTTCACCTAACAAAAAGAAGGGGTTAAGTAGTAACTTAGTCAAAAAAACTTAATATAGACGATTAATATCAATAATCTCACAC